CTTGCACCTGGCTGCTGTCTCCGCCATCTTCTGGATCACCCCAGGTTACGACAGCCCCATTTTCAAGAATGGCAGCAAAAGCACCTACAGTTGCTTGGATGTGCTGGACGTTCCCCAACTGCTCTTGCACGCGGCTGCTGTCTCCGCCATGGGCTGGATTACCCCAGGTCACAACAGCCCCTGATTCAAGAATGGCAGCAAAAGCACCACCAGCAGTTGCTTGAATGTGCTGGACGTTCCTCAACTGCTCTGGCACCTGGCTTCTGTCACCGCCACGGGCTGGATCACCCCATGTCACAACTTCGTCCCCGTGGGCATACCAAGCGAAGGCAGCATCACTCGCAGCCAGTTTGCCAAGCTGCACAACCGCAGCCACCACGTCCCCGTCTCGCAGCCCAGCCGCACTCAGCGTGGCAGTCAAATCGAGCTGCTGGCCTTTTGCAGTGAGCGTCAAGCGGCGCTGGAAATGCTGCTGAGCTGCAGCCTTCAGCGCTTTCACGGGCGTCTGTGGTGACACTGCTATGGAGCAACCATCGCCACTGGGCAAGCAAACATCTACCTTCATGGCGCAGAATGGTATCCCTGGGTGTGTTTATTATGGTTGGCAAGCATGAAGCTGAGACACACACATGTGAGTTTGAAAGAGTGTCGAAATCCTTTAATTCCCTCCGAGCCTTTTCACATTGAACCTGACATTCGGGATACCCCTACTCCAAATACCTATGTTTTTAAGGGTATTTTTGGAAATACCCGGGTTCCCATGGTAAATACCTCCGTTTGTAGTCGAGGGTCGCCCTGATACCCCAGAAAAAAAAAAAAAAAAGGTATTTGGAGTAGGGGGTAGGAAAAAGATCTTCCAGGAACCCCAGGAAGTCCAAAGGCCTGGGTTACGGAGGCCGTTTAAACACGTTTTTTGTTGTTGTTGTTGTTGTTGTTGTTGTTTTTGTTGGTTTAACGTCCTTTTTACGGGGTGTTTACGTCCTTTTTACTTACGGGCTTTTTACGGGGTGTTTACGGCCGTTGACAAAAGGCCTAAGTTACTCAGGCCGGGGAAGCTCTGGGAACCTGGTGTCAGGTTCCATGTTAATTCGTGGGATGCCGAATACGCCAAAGCCACAATTCCGCAAATCAAGCTTTGAGGTGTTTCGATGCAAGTATCTTGAGCACCGGGATCCAAGCGAGCAGATTCGCAACCAAGCTCTGGTTCAGATGGCTGCATGCATTGGTTGAAACGGCCAGAGTAATGCGCCCCTGAGGTTTAAACAATGGATTAAACATGTTTGCACTAGGAGTTGGCCCAACCAGCTGGTTTCTACCCTTAATAAATCCCCGGTCTTGCCTCAAACAAAATCCGCGGGTGACCTTTGGGGCACTTCATGCAAACATCTTCGTCCCCCATACCCCTTACACCCAATACCCACTGTTTTTAGGGTATCATGTCGACCCTCTACTAAAAAAGGAGGTATTTACCTTGAAAAACCAGGTTATTCAAAAAGTACCCTAGAAAAAGTGGGTATTTGGAGTAGGGGGTGGTTTAAGGAAGGCTTCCTTATTCAAACGGGTATACCCCCCCAAAAAAATGTTCAGCCGAGTATCCTCCAACACAGGGTTCCGTCAAGCCAATACCAGTGGTCCAAAGCCCAGCTGGCGAGTCAAGTGTTTGCCCTGCCTTCAGCAGGCTTTGAGCGCCGAAATTTGTGGTCTTCTTGACGACCCGAAATTTGTTACAAGAGCTCCAGATTCAAGCTCAGCTGCTCTTGCACCTGGCTGCTGTCTCCGCCGCAATCTGGATCACCCCAGGTTACAACAGCGCCAGATTCAAGAATGGCTGCAAAAGCAGCGCCACTTGCTTGGGTGTCTTGGACGCTCCTCAACTGCTCCTGCACGCGGCTGCTGTCTCCGCCAAACTTTGGATTACCCCAGGTCACGACAGCCCCAGATTCAAGAACTGCAGCAAAAGCACGACGAGTCGCTTGCATGCGCCAGACATTTTTCAACTGCTCTTGCACCTGGCTGCTGTCTCCGCCACAGTATGGATCACCCCAAGTGACAACAGCCCCTGAATCAAGAATGGCAGCAAAAGCACCGGCAGTTGCTTGGATGTGCTGGACGTTCCTCAGCTGCTCTTGCACCTGGCTGCTGTTTCCGCCCAACATTGGATCACCCCAGGTTACAACAGCCCCAGATTCACGAATGGCAGCAAAAGCACCTGAAGTTGCTCGGATGTGCTGGACGTTCCTCAGCTGCTCTTGCACCTGGCGGCTGTCTCCGCCACACAGTGAATCACCCCAAGTCACGACAGCCCCACACTCAACAATGGATGCAAAAGCACGACGACTCGCTTGTATGTGCTGGACGTTCCTCAGCTGCTCTTGCGACTTGCTGCTATTTGCGCCCCATAGCGGATCACCCCAGGTCACTACAGCCCCAGATTCAAGAATGGCAGCAAAAGCTCGCTCAGTTGCTTGGATGTGTTGAACGTTCCTCAGCTGCTCTTGCACCTGGCTGCTGTCTCCGCCATCTTCTGGATCACCCCAGGTTACGACAGCCCCATTTTCAAGAATGGCTGCAAAAGCACCTACAGTTGCTTGGATGTGCTGGACGTTCCCCAACTGCTCTTGCACGCGGCTGCTGTCTCCGCCATAGTCTGGATCACCCCAGGCCACGACAGCCCCAGATTCAAGAATGGCAGCAAAAGCACCTAAAGTTGCTTGGATGTGCTGAACGTTGCTCCAGCTGCTTTTGCACCTGGCTGCTGTCTCCATCTTCTGGATCACCCCAGGTCACGACAGCCTCTGATTCAAGAATGGCAGCAAAGGCACCTACTTTTGCTTGCATGTGCTGGACGTTCCTCAGCTGCTTTTGCACCTGGCTGCTGTCTCCGCCACAGTCTGGATCACCCCATGTCACGACTTCGTCCCCATGGGCATACCAAGCGAAGGCTCTATCAGTGGCAGCCAGTTTGCCAAGCTGCACAACTGCAGCCACCATGTCCCCGTCTCGCAGCCCAGCCGCACTCAGCGTGGCAGTCAAATCGAGCTGCTGGCCTTTTGCAGTGAGTGTCAAGCGGCGCTGGAAATGCTGCTGCGCTGCAGCCTTCAGCGCTTTCACGGGCGTCTCCGGTGACACTGCTATGGAGCAACCATCGCCACTGGGCAAGCAAACATCTACCTTCATGGCGCAGAAAGGTATCCCCGGGCGTGTTTATGCTTGCCAAATACGAACCTCACACGCACACACACACACACACATGTGAGTTTGGGAGAGTGTCGAACTCCTTTAACACACCCATGCAAGCAAAGATGCTTTGTGCGGCTTGAACCATTTCCCTCCAGGATCTCCCAGCTGAACCGGACCTTTATGACTCAAGCTCTTCGGCTGAAGCCCAAGATTTCGGTGTTTCGCTGGACAGAACAGCAGCAACTCGCTTGCAGGACCTACAGAAAGGCGGATCGCAGCTTTCCTGGTGAGGCAAACCCAGAGTTGATCTCTGATCAATTGGCCGGTAAACACTTCTAACTATGGGTAGTTCACCATCGTGCGTGTGTTTGGCTCTCCTTTCCAACATCCAATGACTTTGAAAGTAGGGAAATCAGGATTCCCTTGTACAGCACGCGTGGCCATCCTACCCAGACCCGCACCCGGTATTTACGTGGTCTACCCAGAACTGTGCTTCAAGATTTAAGAAGGCCGATATCCGCAGCTACTTCTGGCAAGGGCATTGTCCCTCACCTTCATCTACCCGAATCGGTTGTGAGCAAGCGGCTCGCTTGACTTGCGGCTTTGAGCAAGTGGAGGCTCCCTGGAGTCTCCCTGACCTTTAAAAAATGGTTGGTCATTACCCAAAACTTTTAGGGGTCATAACCAACCATGTTTGATTCGGGTCCTTATGGAGACTCCAGGTAGAGCGAATTCAAGTGATTTCTCACGGCCTGAACATGGACTTCTCTTCTTTTTCCCCCCCAAAAAAAAACAACAACAACAACAACAACAACAGCTCTCTGTTGTTCACTTCTTTTTCTGGAAAGAAAACATTGGAGCCCAAAACTCTCGGGGCTTGGCACGCCGAATTTTAGCGGTTGGCCACCAACTGACCCCGTAGAGACAACTCCCCCACGCCGCCGCCCGGCAAAAGTTCTCATCGGGGCCACGGAACTGGAAGGCGAAGCGGTTTCAGCCATGGGGCTTCAACTTGTGGGCGCTGGGCGACAAAAACAACTCGGCCTTAAAGGATCTTGGCGCAGAGAGAAGGAATCAGTTGGTACCCGAATTTTGTGAGACTTCTTTTTTGAGTTTGTTTCTTCTTTTTTTTCCCGGTTTTGTCGAGTTTTGAGTCTTTTTCCCCGGTTCTGTCGATTTAGACGCGGTTTGAACCATTTGTTTCCCGGTTTTGTCGATTTTAGTAGGTTTGAAGCCTCCCGACTCCCAACCAAAAAAGTTGGACGAGGTGAGAGGTCGGGCACCAATTGCTGGGGGGCCTTGCCCTACTCCAAATACCGTTGCTTTTAAAGGCTATGATGCCGACCCGCTACCAAAAACTGGATCGGTATTTACCATGGAAACCCGATCGGTGTTTCAAAAAATACCAAGAAAAAGGCGTAGGGGGACGATAAAACATATCTCCCTGAACTTCATGGCTCTTGAGAAACTTGGCTGGAATTAGGACCCCAGCAAAAATTGAGATCTGTTTTCCCTGGTGAGTGGAAAGCAAAAAACCACCCCAAAAAGGCAAAGAAATAAAGGAAGCTAATTCGGGGGAAGAAACAAATATGTACCCAAAATGGCTTGCCATAGTAAATGGAAACATGGACTAAAACCTGCGGTCCGATTCTTGGTGGTGACTAATTTTGACCCATACGCCAACCATAAATGTTTGCCCACACCAATAAGCCCACACCAACAACAACCAACAACACCAATAAGCCCACACCAATAAGCCACCCAAAAAACGCTATATATATATATGGAAAGAAAAAAGGGTCCCCTCGACGTCGAGGCTCTGCAGCAGGTACTTGTACTCCGAGCCGTTCCTCCAGGGGAACCTGAAGCCGACGCCGCGTGCCGCGCCGCGACGCCGCGGCGCAACTCGGCTGCCCTCCCCGAAATCCGAAATCCGAAACGAAGGATGGTCTCTTCGAAAAGGGCGGGCCAAAGTAACATTGAAAAAAGAAGTAAAAAGAAATAAATATACCCTCTACGCAATTATCCGTTTATTTTAAAGGTATGGCAAAATATCCTGGTTTTTTCCAGGAAATACCGGGTTTTTACTTTTTGCGTTGACATCAGAATGGTCTTGCGTGAGTTATGATTGTGGTTCCCTCAATATAATCCTTTTGTTGGCTCTCTTACATCCAGTCAAACGCTCCACGGCCGCCTAGCAATCCCATCCATGCAAGCTCATTGAGCATGGCACCTGTTGCTAATCACCTGCTGAACTCGAAACAATGGTCAATCCGCAATTTGTTGGGAAGGCTTCCCAGATCGTGGCTCGGGAAGTTTAAAGCAGCATTGGAATATGAACTTTCTGACAAGGGCAACAAGTAGTCCCTTACTGCAAGCGGTAGCTGCACGTGTATACATAGTGTGTATGGCACTGAGCAATCTGCTTGGGACTGTTTGCGTAAAGCTCGCGTCGGATACGTCTGGAGGGCCGTCTTGCAAATGCTCACTTGTTTGACAACCAAGTCCCGTGTTAAAGCCTTGATCTCGGAGCTTCTCGCAGGCTTGTCTAAAACGTCGCAGGAACATCATTTTTGGAGCGAGCCAAAAGAACCTAACCCACTTTGAACACTAGGACAGCAGGTAATTAAAGACGCGCGGGACGAACACATGAATGACTGCTTTTCGCAAGGTCACCTTGCAAGCTTATTTCGGGCAGCTCGGGCCTGGAAAGCTGCTTGAGCAAAGGCTGAAAATCCCATAAATTGCGTACGGGTTTGTACGGTATTTTTATGGGATTTGTACGGTTTTTGTACGGGTTAGGAAAAACCGGGTTTTCGGAAAAATATGGGTTTGTATGGGTTTTTTAATGGGATTCGTATGGGATTTTTATGGGTTTCCTTTTTTTTCGCACGCGCTCGCCCTTCCACAAGCTTTCCAGCAAAGAAAAACGGGCACACAGCTAGATTGCGCGAGCAGCGAACTGGTTTTGTATGACATTGCGGTAGAACATCCGAAGGTTTTCGGGCACAAACACGTACTACGCAACATGTTTGGCTTGGACTGTGCTTCCCATCGAATCAAAGTTAGGTGCTAGAAGAAAGTGCGACTTAGGCGGAGGCCAGCTTTGTTGGCATTTGGCTTGTGCGCTGAGTCGAGTAACGAATGCAAGTGCCACTTTGGGATACTGTCTGATGTTTAAAAAATACAAAACAAAGTACCATGCTTGAGCATGATGTGTCAATCACGCAGAGCTACTGATGGTCATGTAGTGAACTGGACACTTGTACATTCAAGTTGGTTGTCCCGCTTCATTCTTGAGTTTGGTTGACCACGCCCTCGCGTTTACCCCTGCCTTTTGAGGAGTAGGAGGCTATCGCGCACTTGGCGGTACAAAAGGAAACCACAAGAGATTCCCAAAAAACATCTAGAAACCCAATGTACAATTTGGCAGTGAAAGAAACCTGGCGGCTCCTTTCAACACCTGCTCGAGATCCGGCACCTTTGCTCTGTTCTTCAAACATCCGACATTTCGCTTGCGAAAAGTTCCAAAATAAAGGATGTAAGTGAAATACCGGGTTTTTCCCTGGAAAACCCTTATTTTTCCAAAACTTGCCCAAAAACCAGGTTTTCCCATTTGACCCTTTAAAATTAAAGGATTTTCGCTTAGAGGGTACTCTTAAAAAAATGACAGATGTAAACCATGATAACTCCCATCAAGATCGTCAAAGCGCGGTTCCCAACCAAAAAGGTTGGTTAAGCTTTTAAAACGGGCAACTTTTGGTGGAAACACAACACAAATAAAGGCCAACAACACGCACCTGGAGTCTCCATGACCCTTGAAAAATAAATCATGACCCCACTATTTGGGTAATGACCCCATTTTTGAAGGGTCATGGAGACTCCAGGTATCTTTCTTTTCTGTTTTCTCTATCCCTTGTGCTTCGTGCCCCTTTGAAAGTGACTCAAGCCTTCAGAAGTTGTTGGGAGGGACTCAAGACCATGCGGATGGATTGAGCGACCAAAACCCGAGCTGACTATTGGTATACGGTACCCTTTTTCTAGGGTATTGGAAAACTGATCGGCTTTTCAAGACAAATACCTCCTTTATTAGTAGAGGGTCGACATGATACCGGATACCCTAAAAAAACAGGATATTTGGAGCTCGGGGGTAGAAATCATGATTTTTGTCGGTTTGCGGATGCCTATAGTCCCGTATATCGAGGGTTTTCAGGGCTCAGTTCGGATTCACAAAACTTGATTTGAATAATTCTAGGGGTAACTTCCATGTCCCTTCTTTCCAGGGATCCGAATCTTTCTAGAAAACCACCAAAAACCCTTGAGAAAAAGCTGGTTTTTGAAAAGAACGATGGTTGAAAAGAATGGGGAATCAACCCCTAGAATAATGGTTGATAAGCCACCAATCCCAACTGGTCCATCAGTCAATGGAGGGCGCATGCCCCCTACTCCAAATATCCTCTTTGTTTATGGTCTTCTGGTGTAAATCCCCCTTTTCTAGCAGAGGGTCGACATTTTTAGTAGAGGGTGTAAGGGTGTACTCGATGAGTTTCTCACAGCCGTCGAGTCAATATTCATAACTCCTGCAGGTATGTTTGGGCCCAACAAAACAAGAGTTTGGCTGTCCTTGTCGCTTCCCTGAAACAACCCACTTACTGCAAAAACAAGGGCCCTCATAAGAACGAGCCACACTACTGTAAAACGTTGGTTTCATGCGAGTGGAATGCTTGAGATCTCAATGGTGAGCCTCCTTTTTGGAACTTTATTGAAAGTTCTGCACTGAACAAACATGAGACGACTTTAGTAGATTCCCTTCAACACCAACCAACACAATAGAGGGGTTGTCTCAAAATAGGGGGACTGCCCCCCCCCCAAATTGTTAGTGTTCTCTCGTGTTTTTTTTAGCCCACCCTCAAACAACAGTTACATGGCATAATACAAATTTCAGAAAATGGAAGGTTTCATGTCCTTTCACTTTCTGAGCGACTTCCATGGGTTTTCGCTTCAAAGGGTATTTCACCCCCGGTGAAGTTTCATGGGGTGGTTTGCATCTTGGCGACCCCTTAAACAGAATCCTTCACTACGAGGGGGTCGATCATTTTTCCACCAAAGGTTGCAAAACGACACCCCGGTCCTTCCATTTGCTTAAGCCCCCAGGGCAAAATATAACATTTCCAAACGTGAAGGATTCCATTGAACACCAACAGGGGAAATAAATATAAACAATCAAACATATTCATTTCAGCAAATGCAAGGATCTAAATTGCGTCAACCCTTTTTTGAAGGGGAGCCTTGAATTTTCGGCGAGCGGCGAATCAGCCACGAGTCGCAGGGAATCAGTACAGGAGCGCGTGAAGACCTGTCGAAACACAAACGCCGCGCGGCTCGCGGCTCGCGGCGGACGGGTGAAGGGCGCGCGCCCTCGCGCCGGACGTCACCCTCTAAACATGGGATCGCCAGAACATGTTCCCCCGCTTTTTCTAGGGTATGATGTCGACCCTCTACTAAAAAAGGGATTGGTATTTACCTTGAAAAACCGAGACCGGTTTTCCAAAAAATACCAACTGGAAAAAGGCCGGGTATTTGGAGGTTACGGGGGTTAGAGGTGGCTCCCTACTCCTCCAACCACCCAACCTTTGTTTAGTTGGCATTGCTTGGAAAACCGGTTTCGGTTTTTGCAGAGTAAATACCGATCTCTTTTTTAGCCGAAGGTCGACATTATACCCGTGTTTAAGGCATTTGATGGAAAACCGGTTTCGGTTTTTCAGAGTAAATATTCCCTTTTCTAGCGGAAGGTCGACCTCATACCCGTTGGGCCTAAGGGGTAGATCCGATTTTTGAAGAGGGTCATGGAGTTCAAGCGATCGAAACCAACTCGTTCAGGAAAACTCATTGAACTTAGCCGGACCCTCACTAGCCACGGTCAAACTATGCCTATGCTGTGAAGGCAATGCAAGAAACGAGTGAGTCTCGTGAAAACCTCGTCCCATGCACCGAACCAATCGATACAAACATCAACAAGTGTTCACCAAACCTCCTGAAAGCAAACCAAGCTTCAGTGTTTCTGGTCCCCCAGTTTGGACGAACAAAAGGCCAAACGGTTCACCTTCTGACACTAAAGGGTCCTCCAGTAGAGGTTAGAATAAGGGTACCCTCTATTTTAGTAGGGGAACCCTCGCCAAAATGGGTAAAAGGGCACTACTGGGAGACCTAGGATAGGTACCAACCTGTTGGGGGACCTAGTTGGGGTACCAACCCTCTCTCACAAAAATGGAGGTGAGAGGTCGGGCACCAATTGCTGGGGATCAGAGCCAGCACCTTGACGAAAAGTGGACCAAGGGGAACGGAAAGCTCAGCCCCGTAACCTCCAAATACCCAGCCTTTTTTGAGTTGGTATTTTGGGAAAAGCCGATCGGTTTTCCATAGTAACCAGTTTTCCGGAAAACTTGTTTCTGGAAAACCTGGGTTGCCATAGCAAATACCGATCCCTTTTCAGTAGAGGGTCGACAAATCATACCAACAAGAAACAGGTGAAAGGGTATTTGGAGGTTACGGGGGAGCTCGATGCGCTTTGGGCCAGCGAGTGACCCCGAAAAATCCGCAACTCCGACTCACCCCGCGGTCCGCGCCACTTCGTAGTCCTCGGGCGAGGCGCCCAAGAAGCGTAACACCTCAGGTCCAACGGGAGATGGGCGAATGGGCGCGGCCGTTTCAACACGGAGGTTTTTTTGCGGCCTTTTTACGGGGTGTTTACGTCCTTTTTACGGGCTTTTTACGGCCTTTTTACGGGTTTTCTACGGCCGTTGACAAAAGGCCTAAGTTACTCAGGCCGAGGAAGCTCTGGGCCATGTTCTTGCATAAAACTAAGAAGCAAAAGGATGCTAATGGGTGCATGACCTTTCTATTTTGGGTAATGACCCCATTGGATAAGGGCCATGGAGACTCCCGGTAGGGAGTATGTTGCTGCTTTTGCTTGGTTAACAACAGTTAATTGGCCGTCTGCTGCGGCCCTCAAACATGCTTATGGGCCAAACCCCGGGCCGGAAGTGGCGATGGCGCGACCAACACGGGACAAGAAAAACAGGAACCATTCTGAAACTAGCTTCTGACTGGAGTCTCCCTATGGACCCTTCCAAAAAGGGGGCATCCAATTCCTATAGGTAGACCAATCGAAGGTCAGAAGCAGACTCCAGGTAAATGGTGTTCAAGGGTTTCCGTGGACCCTCAAATTGCCGTACACAAATAGGTGATTGCCCCATCAAGCTACCCTTCGAAGCTTCTAGAAATGGGAATTCATCAGCCCAAAAAATAAGGTTGCAAGAACCCACCCAGAGCTTCCTCGGCCTGAGTAACTTAGGCCTTTTGTCAACGGCCGTAGACACCCCGTAAAAAGGCCGTAAAAAACCTCCGTGTTTAAACGGCCTCCGCAACTCAGGCCTTTGGACTGCCTGGGCCAGTTCTTTTTCAGTTGGTATCTCTTTCGGGTCCAAGTCACTGGAGCGGGACTTGCCGCACTGGAGCGGGTTCGAAGCTGACCCACAGGAACATGAAGCCGGACCCTCACTACCGTCCAAAGTGTACTGCTCGACCCTGAAACTGCCCTAATTGGGTCACTACCTTAGTTGCCCTGGGACCCAGCATGGTTTTAGGGCCAAGCTTTTAGGTGAACAAAATATGGACCATGAGTATGTAGTTGCTTTGATGGCACCAACTTTTTGGGGTGGCTGTACAGGAAATCCAAAAGGACAACCACATTTGGGGTAAGGGGGGTGCGGGAGGGCTCCGAGTTCCCTCCCAACCAAATGACCAAATGAGCCGGGCACCAAATCTTACCCCTTAAAACTCCAAGCCCTGAAAAAGTTCTCATCTTTTACAGACAGAAAAAGCCCATGTTACCATCAAAAAGTTGAGACATGTCTTCTGTTTTTAAGAGGTAAACGTGTGGGAGCCAGACTTCCGCTCCACTGAAATGCTCCGTGCCATTGAAAGTCCAAAAAAACATCCTCCGGAGTCCAGGAAGCCGCTTCCGAAGGGAACCGTAACGGGCCGTAAATGTCAACGGCCGGTTTCAACACCCCGTAAAAAAGGCCACGGGAAAAAAAAAGAAAGAGAAAACACAAAAACATGTATGTCTTCCGGTGCTTTTTCCTCTCTCTTTTTTTCCGGCCGCAACTCGACGGCCTTTGGACTCCGTGGGCAAAAAAAAACAAGGTTGCGGGGTATGTTTGAGGATGGAGGCTCCACACTCCAATGTTCACCAAAAGCAAGTTTTGGAACTGGGAAGTGACCTCGGGTTTTCATTTTGTACCTCGGGCTTCCTTTTTCTGAAAGGAAGCCAAGGGCTGGTTCAGTTCGAGGTCATTCCAACGATTAACAAGTTCCTCCAGTTGCACACCAATCGAAACCCCGTGTTTTGGATGGGGTTTCCCAGCGCAGCCAAAAACGGCACCCCCTTTGACGACTCTAGGGGTTGATTCCACGTCGCACCTACAAAGAGAAGCGCGCGACGCCGCCTCACCCCTCACCGAAAAGCGAAGCGGCTGTGGTTTGGCATCCAAGCGGGACGATTTGATGCTTGGGTGTTCGGCTGACTTAGTAAGTTGCAACGGTAACCTAGATTATGTCCCACTTGTAAGTCCCCCCCGAGCTTTGGGAGCTCCCCGAGATGTGGGCGGAGATCAGAAGCCACGGGGAAAGAACGGAAAAAGAACGCGTGGGATGAGTAATTTGTTGGGAAACCACATAAAGACGTGGGATGAGCAATGAGTTTGGAAAAGATATAAAACCGCTCAAGAGATATTGATGTTTCAACCGTTAAATGCATCCTAGAGGAGCCCCTTCGGCCCTAGATATGGGGTTCCCTGAACTCCCTTGGGCCTCAAATCAGGTCCTGAGCTGTTAGGTCGAAAGCACCAAACCAAACCAATTCGCAGAAATGCGATTTGAGAGAGCCCGCAAAAACGTCCATTTGCTGAAGAACATTTTTCCCTCTTGGTTTTAAAGGGAATCTATCACTACTGGACACCCGCTTAGATGTTCGATTCGCCATTGGCATTTGGGGTGTTTCACCCCCATATAGCAAGGTTACCCCCACTGAACGTCAAACCCCTTCACGCAGCGCCTCCGTGCGCGCGCTCTCCACAGAGTCAGAGCTGCGTTGAGCTGAAGAGCCTAGCGGACGGCCGACTCAAAATACCCGATGCCATTTTTTAGTTGGTATGACGCCGGCCCTCTACTAAAAATGGGATTGGTATTTACCATGGAAAACCAGGCTTTGCAAAATATACAGTAGAAAAAGTGGGTATCTGGAGTAGGGGGGAGGAGTTCTTCCGCCCGAGCGGGGAACAGGGAAAGGCGGTGGAATTTCTTCAGCTGATTGCTAGTGGATCCATGGGGGTCACCTCAAAGCAGGGATTTGTGTAACTCAATTGCCCCAGCCGGAAATGTTCAGGCCAACCTTTTGGGGCGACGAACAATTTTCGGATCCATTTCCATCCTACCCTGCAGAGGTCCGCGATTTTGAGAAACACCCAGAAATGGGGACGTCTGTCCTCCAAGCATTGTTCAGGGCAAGTCATTATGCATGGGCGCCAAATGAAAAGCCAAGAAGCTCAGCGAGTGTGGGTTCCCATAGAGGTTCTCCTTGAGGTCACGCGCATGCGCATCCTTAGAGAACATGGATTGGGGAGCCTCGGCAAACACAGAAGGGAACCGAACCCACACAAAAACCTACCCCCTACTCCAACACAGATGCCCAGTGGCCTTGAACAAAAAAGGCATCTTTTGTTTGGGTGGTCGAGTTTAAAGGGGAGCCCTTCCCCTTAAAAGAAAAGGCGCCACTGGGCAAGTGGGCCAAATATCCGTTGTCTGTCAGGGTATTATGTCAACCCTCTACTATATTTACCCTGTTGAAACTAGGCTTTTCAAGAAATACCTGGAAAAACAAATATATGGAGCAGGGGGTCTAGTTTCCAGCGGACCGGGAAAAACAAGGCAAGGAGAAAAGCATGAGCAAAGGGATCAAAGAAGCAAGCCAAAGAAAGCTCACTTCCTAAGTGGATCGGTCAGAACAACCGGCCTTGTTGCTTACCACCAAAAATATTCAATCAAACCACTAGACTGGGCCGTCCGTTTTCTGATCCCCTGCTAAAAATCTAACTTGTGGGTCAATGGAAACGCCCCAACGAAACCCAAAAAGCTCAAAGCAAATAAGGGGATGGCTGGGAACCACCAAGAAAAATGCAAGAACTGGGAAAGCGCTCAACAAACATAATTCCATTCGCGAAATTCGGTGGCAGCTTCGCTGCAACCAAAGGGGGTTGCAACTGAACGGGGTCCCCGACAGGGAAAGAGCCACAACATCGTCCGGAATGTTAGCAATTTGTCACTCTCTACATGCTCCACAAACTAAGATGGAACCCACTTTAGGGGGTCCCCCAAAAGAGGTTTCCTCTACAAACCAATTTGTATTTGGGGTTCCATCTTACTCTGTGCAGGAGTGCCGCTTGTTGGTTTTTGTATTGCATATTTTGTTTTGCGAAGGGGGGTGGAAATAAAAACGGTTTTTGGTCGAACAAACTGCAACTCATGGGCCATTCCCACATTCCCTGGTGGGACAGAAAGCTGCCCCACACCTCCCCATTTCTCAGCTTCGGCGGTTTGGAGGGGGCAGCTTCCCTTACCGTCTACATAGGGCTTCAAATTTGCGAGCATAGAATACGACTTTGGTCCTAACATCCGGGATTGTCTCAAAATGGGGAAAGCTTCAAAATGGGCGGTTTCCTTTTGGTTTCCCTTTGCAACTAGCCAAAGAAGAGTATAGAGCCTCCCAAAAAAAGGCACACCACACCCCTTGTGTGTGTGATTGTGATCATTGTGGCTTGGGAATTCCCCCGTCAGTTGTTCCAAGAGACACCACTGTAGGGAAATCGCCCTGTGTGGGGGCAACAAACGGTCCCGACCGGAGGGTCCTTCAGGAAAACCAAGGAACCCTACAAAAGCCTAAAGAAGCCTAGGGCTCTCAACTCGCAAGTAGCTCCAGGGATTCCTGAACCTCCATTTGCTGAAGTCCCTTGGAAAAAATGGGCAAACATACCCAGTAGTGAAATCGATGTCCTTTAAACCCAACACACAAAAACAACAACATCGTCTTAATTAAGCAAACAAACGAGCTATATGTCCAGTAGTGAAATCGATTTCCTTTAAAACCAAGAGGAGACAACAAAACATATTTTTAAGCAAACGGAAGTCTAATTTTGGGGAGGGGCCCCAACTGTTCCGAGCTTCGATCTGCGTATTGGTGTACAGCCCTGCCGCCGCATAGTCCAGATACGCGTCCCCTCGCAGGCGCGCACCCACCTCGCCTGACGCGACACAACGCTGCCTGGCACCAAATATGGGTATGGGTCAAAATTCAACCACCAGGAATCGGACCGCAGGTTTTAGTCCATGTCTCCATTTGCCAGGGATTCATTTTGGGTACCTATTATTGACCCACAGCCATATGACCATGGGTGACTTGTCCCGTTTGGTGAGACTCATGTTTTGGTGGTTTTTTCAGGGGTCACCCCATGTCCGAGGAGCTTTGATCCCTAAGTCTCAAATAAGATATTAGACTCACTGGCTGAGTGGATGGCCCAAAAAAAGTTCGAACTTTATATTTACAACTAAAATTCATGAACTCAGGAAGTGAGTAGATGTTGGAGTCGAGGGAAGCCCAAAGGAACCTTACCGCGACAAGATTCCTAAGGAGCCCGAAACCGGCTCTCACTACCCCCCCGGCACCTACCCTTTTAAAAAATCCATACGGGTTTGTCTCATGATTGGTTGTTCTCAAAGCTGGTTGTTCTCCTTTAAAGCACCCCGAAAAAAAGATTACCCTCAAAAGGACACACAGAAACATGACCGGCTCTCATAATACGTTGGTTGTCATGTTGTTCTCCTTGAAACCCCAAAAAAGGCTACCATCAGAAGAAAAAAAGAGACACATGTCAGGTCGTCAAAATGTATGTTCCTGAAAAAGGGGCATGAACAACCAGAATTCCCAGCGCGCCGCTTTGAAACGGAAGTAGATGAATCAAACAACAAATCGGCACATGCTGTATGACCCAAAAATCGGCTCAACTTCCTGTACCTACCCCCCTTTAGGGATTCCATGAGGATACGGGTTTGTCTCAAAATAGGAACTGGACCCCAAGAGTTGTTGTTGTCATCTGCTTCTCCTTTAAAACCACCCCCAAAAGGCTACCATAAATAAAATAAAAAAGAAGAAAAAAACATAAAAAAAAAAAACAAAAACAAAAAAAACAACAACAAAAAAACACACAAAAAAAAAAACACGACCCATGATGTATGACCCGAATCGCATTTCAAAGCTCTAGGCCTGGGCCTGAAGGCGCTTGCCATGAAAAAACCTGGCCACGAACCTGGCTGGCCGAAGGCCCAAGTAGCCTGAAGCCAACCGGTGTCCTTTTTGGGGCAAATAGATGGATATCCCTGGTAGATGCTTGAACCACCAGGTAAACCAGGAATCGCCTTCTAGTTTTTGCAGGCAAAACAACCAAAAAGGACTGCCTGAAACAAAAACCGGTTCTTGCAGCCCAAAATGAAGGTTGGGGAATTCCCCGTCCTAACTTTGTTAAGGGTAGTTGAGGGTGGTAGATGGCAGAATTCCACATTCCCTCCTAAAAACCAGCTGGAAAAAAGGCAGGTCCTCAAGAGGATACATATATACATATATATGTATATAACATATACATATATATGGTACCCCCCCCCAAAGATCGACCATTTTCTGTGTTTTGTCTCTGGGGACACATCCCAGGATCTGCAAGGTCTCGGGCTTCTGGCTTCCCACTGGCTTCCCAACTTCATCTTGCATCTGCCTTTTGGCTGCACAGGATGAACATGTTGAGAAAACCCGAAGAAATCAAAAAAATCAAAGTCCTGGGAGAGAATGCCCAGGTCAGAATCTCGGAAAGTGAAAAACCTCGAGAAAATCAAAAAAAACAAAAAAATCAAAAAAATCAAGGTCCTGGAACAGAATGTCCAGACCCAGTGGCTATCTCTCCCAGGACCTTGATTTTGTTTGATTTTTATGATTTTTGATTTTCTCGAGGTTTTTCACTTTTCCAGGTCAGAATCTCGGAAAGTGAATAAACCTCGAAGAAATCAAAAAAAAAAACAAAAAAATCAAAAAAAATCAAGGTCCTGGAGCAGAATGCCCAGACCCAGTGACTTTCTCTCCCAGGACCTTGATTTTTTTGATTTTTTTTGATTTTTTTTGATTTTCTCGAGGTTTTTCACTTTCCGAGATTCTGACCTGGGCATTCTCTCCCAGGACCTTGATTTTTTTTGATTTTTTTTGATTTTTTTGATTTCTTCGAGGTTTTTGCAGCTTCATGGGTTGCTTGCCCTTCGCCCCTGAGCCTTCGGTCATGGAAGCTTTGGGGCTCAGGTGTTTGTCAGTATCTGCCTGTCTGTCTACGCCATGCCTCCAGCTGCTGAAGACATGACGATCGATGATCTGAAGGCAGCGTGCGAGGCCCTGGTGTGCCGGATCTTGCCATCTCCCTTTGTTTCTTCACCCGGACCCGAGGGCATCTTCAACCATGTGAACTTCTCCATGCGGTCCTTGAATGAGGTGGACTGCGCTCCCAGCGTGCACTGGGTCGACCTTTTGACCCAGCACACGATGACGGCGCCGTCACCTTTGGGGAGGCTTTCAAGCCCACATGCGCCCATGCTCAAGCGGCTGGCAAGAAGATCATGCAGTACTGCCTTGAGAACATGGGAGCCCGGCAGTACCGTTGCTTCCAGCTGACGAACCAGGCCATTAGTAACTCATCCCGGACCAAGGCAGCCTTTGACGATTTGGAGGATCGTGAACTCGACGCAGGCTTCGATTACCTCATCAAGAATGGGCCTCGAAGCGGATCAGATCTTCGACAGCTTCGCTGGCAGACCAAGGAGCTTCGCCGCAAGGAGTCGCCAGTTTACAACTGGCCTGCTGGTGTCGTCGACAAAGCTCTTCGAACCTTGGCTTCTGATGGAGCACTGGCGAGGAAGGAGTTCGATTGGCCTCTTCCCTTGACCAGCACCTTCTTCAAGCGCTGGGTGTTGGACATCCTGGAGAATGTGTGGGACTTCGACCACTCCGCCTTTGTTCTTTTGGGTGAACCCGGCGCTGGCAAGAGCCCCCTTGGGCGCAGCGTACTTATGGCGCAATGCCGCCGCAATGCTCAGAGCTTCGAAGGTGACCAACGGCCATGCATCAGGTGTTCCCCAGAAATCGATTTCTTTCGTGGTGAGCAGGGCACGGTCACCATGGGCGATTTCCTGGATGACCCATCCACATCGGACTTGAGCATCAAAGCTCTGAAGTCCTTGCTTGATGTGGGCTTGTACGAGTCAATGTCGTGGGCCAGGTGGGGTGCTGTCAAGTGGGTGCAAAACCAACCCAGAGCTTTGGCAGCAAACAGCTACGACTGTGACATCCAAGAGGGCGACGACTTCACCACCTTGTTCAAATTTGAGGACTTCAAGAAGATGATCCGCCCCGCGATCACCAGGGAAACCACCAGCGCGGATATCGATGCCCTGTTCAAGCGTGCTGCCTTCATCGTCAACACGAAGCGGTTCGTGTACTTCCGCAAGGCAGGGGTCAACGATGATAAGGTACCTCGCAGGTTTGCAGAGTCCGCAGACTACTTGACAGAGGAGGGCGGCAAGTGGTACGGCAAGTTCAAGGAGCACCGCAAGGAGCTTCCACCCAATTTCGAGGAGGAGGTTCGCAAGGAACAGGCGTGGCTCGATCTGGTGCATAAGAAGCTGAGCGAGAAGCGGGACCCCAAGTTCAAGCAACGGCAGCAGGTGCGGCAGCTCTTCCGTGGTCCTGCGGATGAAGAGACATGCTTGGAGCAGATGGACAAGGCAGACTCCTCTCGAGTTGCCATCAAGCGGGAGATCGAGGAGCAAAAGCAGACCGAGGTGTTCAAGAGAGCCCGGACATGGAGCCATGACCTCACTGCCACGCGGACTGTGATCGAGTTGGGGTCCAGCCAGGAGAACGAGGCCGACACAAGGGATGCGGACATTCCGGTGGACTACGAGGAGGAGATCCCGGCGGAGCACGAGGAGGAGGAGGAGGACTTCGAGGAGGATCCGTTCAAGTTTGGCAACCTTGTCTGAGGCAGCGCAGTCCTGGCCCCATGCGCGAACAGCTCGTTTTAGGGGTGGAAACTGCAGATAGTCTTGCAGTTTCACAAATAGAAACGTAGCCTGTTCTAATCCCTTTGCAAATAGTACCATCCTCTGCGGCACCATAAAAAAGGCTCACTTGCACTGCATGCACTTTGCAGTCATGCAAATAGTTCAAGCTTGCGGGTAAAAAAAGCGGCCATTGAAATTACAATTTTCTGTATTGCTGTTCAGCTGTGCATCTGTGTGACTATTCCTGCAGCTGTTCATGCCTAACCAACAAATTGCCATTTGCCATTGACCTCCTCGAGCACCATGGCTCCCAAGTATCGAGCTTTTCCCCAAGCCAAGAAAGGGATCGCCCGGAAGGTCCTCAAGAGACCGGCCTCGAAGAAGTCTGCGGCTTACCAGAGTGTGCCTTACGTCCGAACTCAGGGCGGCACAGAGGTGTCTCGTCGTGACAGGATGAAGTGGAAGCGCACACTCAAGGAGATCATGTGCGCAGATGACGAGAAGATCTTGAAGATCTTGGCTGAGGACGGTCTACTGCCACCTTGGGAGAAGAAAGTCTGCCCCATGTGCAACATCGGGAAGCTCGGGCGACTGCAAAAGCGAGGCAGTGGACTCCTTCGATACCGCTGCACTGCGAAGGCGTGCAATCGCTTTGTGACCCCTCAGCACCTTCACCCCATCTTCACCGCAACTCGCGGACCCGAAGGCCATCCTCTACAGATGCAAGCCGCCGCTCTGTTGATGCGCCTGGCGAACGTCCCTCTGAGCACCATCCACATCTTGACGAACATCAACCACAAGGCATTGGAGCGCATGGAGAAGGGGCTCATCCTCACTCGCAAGGGCTTTGTCGAGATCTCCGAGAAGGAAATCAATTTCGGAGGGGGCAACAAGTGGAAGGATGTCGAAGCGGATGAGGCCACTTTTGACAAGACCACATGCGCCGAACAGGACGGCAACACGATTTTGTGGGAGCAGTGGGCTGGCATCGTTGCCCGTGGCAAGCCACAGACGCTGTTGCTGCATCGGCTCAACCCCCCCGCTACCAAGGCCAGAGCCCCGGGGCCGGGGGCAATCCGCAAGGTGGACTGGACCCCGCTTGCCAGGAAGCACTTGCAGGGCAAGAGCATCATCTTGCACACAGATAGCGCTCGATCCTACAAGCTCAAGATTGATGGCGTGGTGCACGACTCGGTGGTGCACAAGAAGAAGCTCGTCATCAAGAACGGCAAGCGCTCATGGAAGCCCCCGACCTATGTCAAGGTGGTGTCCCATAAGCTCCCCGGCGGCAAGCGCTTGTCGGTAAAAGCCGGCACGCAAATTATCGATCGCGCGTGGCGATTCATTAAGGATCGCCTGAAAGCGAATCAGAATGTTAAGGCAGGCAGTGTGATTTTGCGGGCCCAGATCCGCTCTGCTCAGTATGAGTACTGGCAGAAGGGCAAGGACATGTGGTCCTGCACAGGGGATTTGATGTCCTGGTACATGTCCAGGATCATGTGACAGCCACATGTTGCAGCAAACGGCAATAGCAAGAGAAAAGTACTTCCGGCGGCTTCCAACTGCTAGGCACCGCGCCCTCAAAACCCATACAATGCAAAACACATGCCATCCAGCAACCGTCCTCAACAACACTGCACTTGAATGTCGACCCCAGCAGATGCACATCTGTTTCTTGCAATAATGCACCGCATCTTTCTCAAAACACAGAAAATGGTCGATCTTTGGGGGGGATAGCACATATATATATATATATATGTATGTATGTATGTATGTATGTATGTATGTATGAATAAATGAATGAATGAATGCATGAATGAATGAATGAATGAATGAATGAATGAATGAATGAATGAATGAATGAATGAATGAATGATCCATGGACCATTTCAAACCTCGTTCGGGAGAAAACACCGGGCATCCATTGTCTCGCGCCTGACCCAAAAAAGCCTCTTAAGAGAATCCCAAAAGGCCAGGGTTCAGGTGATCAATGGTTTCTGGGCACAATTCAGTCGCCGACCTCCAACTGGTCTCAAAGAGCCCCAGAACTCCGGCCCTCAGCTTCCATCTGCCCTGTAAACCTCCAGGTTGCAGGGAGAAAATCCAATCCAGGCAAAGCTGGCCGAGAAAATGCGCAAACATTGGCCACTAAGGGTTTCATCAAGTTCCAACTTTCGTTCCCCTCTCCCCCTCAGAAAACAATCAGCGCCCATGCACGCCTTTGCTCGCGGAGGTAATGGCAAACAAGATAACCCCGGTCCACATGACTAACGTCACCCCAAGAGGACATCGGGAAAGTTAGGCTGTTTTTTTAAGAGCTAACGAGGATTAAAATGGTCAGTGTATATACAAATATATCCTTTTGAAGTCTCGTGCTCTCGGTCTGGTGGAATTTAGAGCTCGACCCCCTTCTCTTCCCTGATGTTGCAATGTGGCAAAGGGATCCCAAAGCGCTGTTTTATACAGCCAACAAAAACCAACATGGGTTTGTTTAGGCCTTCCTTCGTATTCATCGGAGAAGGGGGTGTGTCCGCGTAATTCAGCACTCGCTTAAGTATTTGGGGTACTTAACTCCCCTGGAAAACATCCAGAATGTGATAGATTTCCTTTAAAACCAACAGGGGAAAAGCACATATTCATGTCAGCAAATGGAAGGCATACATTTCCCCCTTAAACATCACCCACAAAGGAAACTCTTCCAAATGTAGCAACCATGAGGTAATGGTTAAGCCGGCAAAAGGGAAATCGTGATACTTTCCCCACCAAACTCTAGACAACTTTTGGAAGTGGCGAATCTGTGGATCCACCAACCCGTAGGCTTTTAAAAGAGTACTAACAAATTACACAAAAGCAAGCAACCGGAGAAGAAGTTCCACGAAAGCGCCTCACCGTTTTCTGGACACTCGATAGCTCTGGCAATAGAACGGGGGCACGGAACCCTAAGGAACGCCAGGGAACCCTTGGGTGTTCGGCCAAGTTAGGATGTTGTTGGTAACCTAGGTTATAACCCACCTAGAAGCCCCAACTAGGCAGATCGAACATCCAAGTAAGGGCCCCTCACTCTCAACTACCCACTTTTCTTGTAATCCTGGGGATTCCATATTAGCTCCTGGATTCCTTCTCTCATGGTTTAACTTGACGTCCCCAGCTCAGGGTTAAGCTTAACCCCATTCGAAGGCTACAAAACTCTGCTGAGGACCCGGTCCCTCCAAGAGGAAACTGCCCCGTAACCACCCAATACCCTCGCTTTTTAGGGTATCATGTTGACACTCCATTAAAAAGGAGGTAAAAATAAGAGAAAAAAAACACTGAAACAGTGGGAATTTGGAGTTGGGGGTATATCTTCCGGGCACCTCCCCGCAGGTGCCCTGGGCAAAACCACTTGGGCTACCGAACATGGGAACATAAGAATCGCTGTAGACAAGTGAGAAAAAACACACAGACCGGTCGTTTTTTTTGGAGTTGGGTTCCCTTTGTTGCTTTAAATCGAAACCAGCAGGACAACCGGCAGCATTTTCTGGGGGTCCAAATCTTAAGAAAGGCGTATATCAAACTTACGAAGCCTTGTTTATCCTTATCTCGGCTGGTTCCCACCCTTGACCTACAAAACCGATCGGTAAATGGGCTCCACTTCCGCCGAGCTGCGTTGCACAAAAGCCTCAAAGTCGGGCATGCCATAGCCGTAGCCCTGCTCGGCGAGGCGCTCGCAACTTGCCTCAAGGCCGCAGTATCTGAAGGTCTGTAATGCATAGGCTGGAGCAAAAAGGCCGTACACATGGGATGAAAAGGCCGTAAACATTCAATGACCTTTGCTTTTAGAAAATCGATAAACATACGATACGCCAACCACTAAATGGGAAAGTTACCCATAAGCATCTGCCTCGACAGTCAGGAGTATCGGTGGATCAATAAGCAGCTGCTGCAAAAGATGGGACACTCCGTGATCGAAATGTCCACCCGGGGGGAAGAGGAAGAGCGGGGTCCAAAGTATCGAGGCGAAGCGAAACCGGTGGATCCCAGGCGTTTGGCCCATGCAACAAGCGAAATCCCCTCGATCTACGGTTGATGCTTGCGAAATCCCTTCGCACCACTTTGAAACCATGGTTGTGCTCCGTTGTTTGGTATGTACAGGGCAATCAGCATTGGCCTTCTGAACGGTGGTGCGAGAAGCGGAGCGCCACCATCCACTGTATGTTCTGTTTGGCTTTCGAAAGGCAAGCCCTGGGATACCTGGAGTCTCCTTCTGAGCCTGTAAAAATGGGGTCATGACCCCTTGATTTTGGGGAATGACCCCATTTTTTTCAAACTTCGCCTTGAGGAAACCTGGCTGTTTGCTACGGCGGGGAACTCCCTTCAAGATGGTTTCTGAACACAGCTCCCTATGTAAATTATGTCAACCAATGGGTCCTCAATTTAGCAATGTACTGGCAGTACTGGACAGTTTTGGAGGTTTTTTTTTTTTAGGGGTCACCAAAAGATGTGGTTTTTCCCTTTGGTTCCGTTTGAGAACCACAGACAAACGGGGACCCTCAAGCACACATGGCCATGGGTTAAAATCCCGTACCCCCAGTGAACATCCCAATCCCCACAAAATACATTAAAATGGGTGGTGCACCTACCCCAAAATGATACCATTGGTTTTGACCCACACCCACATCAATTTTGTTCCATGCACTTGTTAAGGGGCAGATTGACGGGACTGAATTCCATTGCCCTAGTCTTCCAACTAATGTAGATCTTGGGTCGAACGCCCCCAAATTCCCCTGATTCCTCAAAATTACCCTCAAACAAAGGAGTTCACCAACCATAACCTTGGGGCTGTAGCCCATTTTTTCAGGGAATTTTGAGGGTCCAGGCATGTTTAAGCGGCTGGGGCAATGCAAATCTCTCACTCTCTTCAGTGCATTGCTCAAAAGTCCAGAAACTCGGGGAGCAAAACAGATACCTCAGCCCAGGGCTGTGGGAAATGACCACTTCTCGGATACGACAAAAAGGGTTTCCAAAAACTACCCCCCCCCCCCCTAGAAAGATGGGTATCCGAACTTGTATCACAGAAGTAGGATAATCCCTTGATCCCCACAACCCTGCCTCAGCCCATTTCCGAGAATTTGGGCTTCAGATTGCAGCTATGCGTCCTGCAGTAAGACGAAGGTAAAGAACCACCAGGATTCTGCCCACATGGCTGCTCGCCGGTTGCTGCACAGTTTCTTTGGCGCAACGGGCTATGATTATTGAGTTAAGTCACATCCACCCTGCGTCTGTTCACATGCATATGCGATCCTCTAAGCCAACTGTTGCTCACAGCGACGTTCCTCCCGAGAGGATCAGTGCACGACACCTCGGCAAAACATTGAAACTAAGTCCCAAATTGCCAAACCATCTAAGGCAAACATTCTTACATTTGCTTAAGTCCACTGGAAAAAACGTATATTTCCAGTAGTGAAATCGATTCCCTAAAAAAAAGGAAAACAAAGCATATTCTTGAGCAAATGGACGCTTCCAGAACTTTCATTTGCTTAAGCCCCTGGAAAGACTAAACAAACATATTTCCAGTACTCATAGATTCTCTTGAAAACCAACAGGGGAACCAAAAAAAACATCCATTTCAGCAAATGAAAGATGATTCCAACACAAGAAGAACCGGGAACCCCTTTTCCGGTTCCGTCCAGATCTACGTTGCGCATCTTCAGAGGTCAAGCTATCAGGAATCGGCTCGACGCTTGGACCATTCTTCCATCCGCTCCAGTGATGGCTTCCCAGAAAACCTCGGTACGCCCCCTACTAAGCTGGGCTTCCTGGAGTCTCCCTAAGGAGCCTTAAAAAATGGTGGGTCATTACCTAACATAATGGTTGGTCATGGACCCATGTTTAAAAAGGGTCATGGAGACTCCAGGTGCATCAACATGAAACAAAGTTTGGCGGCACCCAACACATCGCATCCTTCACTTTGTCTCATCTCCAAACAGACTCCTTGCAATTGGTCAAAGTCGGGCTTGGGCCAGCCCCTCTGTTCAACCCAAGGCAAGAGGTATGGCCTTGCAAAAAGCTGACTCGCTTTTTGGGCAGACCACGAAAAGAATGTGCAGAACCAAACAATCAAGAAACCTAAAGCCATGATCCAACAGAGAAATAATTTGTGGACCCCAAATTGATCAAGCCCAGTTTAGTACCATGAAAAGTGTCCCCGGGTTTCGTGGGAAATCGCTTTTGGAGGGGACACCCCCTAGTCAAACCTGCTGTTGGTTCCGTTTCGGCACAAAACATGCCCAAAACCATGGAACCGATCCGTGCGGTATGGTTCATCAAATTAGCATGGTTGCTTGAAATCCCTAGCACGGTTGATCATCACCCCTACCAACCCCGAGTAGAGTAACTTGACCACTGCACACATACAAGAGAGATAGGGGTCTAGACAATGAGAATGGGGGTGTGGGGCACCCTTAAACCACACTACGTCAAGATACAAAGGTGTACGTGTTGTATTTTAATCACTTCGCCAAACTTGGACCCGCAACGCACAAAGGTTTCGGAGTGCTGTCTGCAGGAGGACTTCGAAAAAATACTTGGAAAATAGATGCCGGAACTATCTGTCAAAAATAGGCTGGTGAGGAATATTTGGGCCGGAAAAAACATAGTTTGTTGTCAGTCCATTGGCTAGCCAGGTTCTTCGATTCACCCCCAATTTCTCAGTGAGACACACGGAAAACGGGGCAACATGACGCCTTGGGTGGCGCGATTCTGGGAGCTTTGGGCCCTCCAATCAAACGAGATCGATCACCTTCTGAGAGCTGAAGACATCTGAAAACATCAAAGGGTCCGGGATAAACCGCCTGGACCCTCAGACTACAACTTGAAAATGGAGGTCCAATTCCTCCAGCAGAGAGAATATGGGCACCAACTTCTTCCTGTTGTCTATTTTAGGGGAGCCCTCCCCGAACGAAAGGGCAAACTTGCAACTAGCTGCGGGACCTAGAGCTTTATCAACCACAAGTTTGGAGCAAGAACCCATTTTTAAAGCAGTCCGATTCCTGTTTTTATTTCAACCCGCACATGGTCTTCCCAAAAGGTTTGAGTTCAGCAACTCGGGGGCCCCTGTCCTGGCCCGTCCAGTCTGATTCCCCAAAGACGCCTCCCCGGAAAAACTCAGTTGCCCCAAATCCCGGGAAGAAACGAAGACCAAAAACGACCAACAAACGAAGACCAACAAGTCACAAGGTCGGCCTGGGCAAGTCAGTAGACTCGGGTTGATTCGTCCGGGGTCAACATTGCAGCGTCTTCGGGGTAGTTTATCAGGGTAGTCCATGTTCTGATCCCCTGCTGAATCTTTCAATTTTAGTGGGTTAAATACATGGCAAACCCTCACTAAACCAGCTAAACATCCAAACACGTTGAAAAAACAAGCTAAAAAACGGACGATAACCGCTGGGAACCGCCAAGTTGTGAGGATACGGGGCTTTTGACCCCAAATGTTGGCCATGACCTGACAACTTGCCAGGCGCTCATCTCCCGCAAAGTGCCGAATCCCGAACTTGCCGCCCCCGGTGATCTTGGGCACGATGAGCCTGAGATCCGACTAGGTCCTCCAGTTTTGGAGGTTAGAATAAAGGTACCTACCTTTTTTTTCTGAAGTCTATTTTAGTAGGGGAACCCTCCCCAAAAAGTGGGCAAAAGGGAACTACTGGGGGACCGAGCCGCGTCCACTGGACAAAATCCCCAGCAGTGCTAGATTCCCTTCAAAAACACCAAGGATAATAAAACATATTCTTAGGCAAATGGACGCTTAACAAAAAAACGGTTGATGGCGCCGCTCACGTCCGGTCGAGTGGATTGAAAAGTGGCGAGCAAGTCTGCAACGGAACTCAGGACGTGAGGCCTTCATTCATGGAAACCATCTACCCAGAGTCTCCTTCTGACCCTTTGAAAAACAGAACCCTTGGTACCCTTTTACCCTGAGGGTGCGGTTTGTCATGGAAATTCGGAATCTGGAAGCTAAGCATAGAATAACGTGCATCTGCCTCTGCGTCTGCCACGCAATTGTGCAGAGAGCAATGGTCACACAAGGTGGGAACTTGGATGTTCGATTCGCCAAGTTAGGAAGTGGTGATCGCCATTTGACGGTTGTCTGAAATTCCTTGTTCCGGAAACCGCCATCTTCGCGAGAAAAAACATAACTTTCGCGGACCCCATCGCAGAACTTTCGCGGGGCTGTTTTCAGAACATTCATTACAAAAGTAGTACACTTTCGCAGTCCCAGCTCGAAAGTCGTGGCTCTTCAGTGCGAAAGAAGTACTAGAAGTAAACTTCCGCAGCCCGGCTTGAATACGAAAGTAGTACTACACGAGCTAAACTTCCTCAGCCTCGACAGTCAGAACTTTTCAATTCGAAAGTAGTACACAAAGTGAACTTCCGCAGCCCCAGCTCGAAAGTCGCGACCTTTCAGTTCCAAAGTAGCACGCGAAGCGCGCTTCCGCAGCTCCAGCTCACAAGCCGTGAGCTACGCATGAGAGGACCCGTTGGCCTCATGTCCGGAAACTGGCGGGGAGGTCCGTCGACTTTCGCGAAACTTTCGCGGATCTTACGCCAAACATTCGCGAAAATCCGGCTTGAAGTTGCGCTCAGCTTGCCCCGACAGCTTCAAAACTCCCAGAAGCTGGTTTCTGCTGGCTGGGGGTTGCTTTTGCAGCGGCGTATTCTTGCGGCGACCCTCAGGCTGGGCATTCTCCGACCAACTTTAGTCTGCGGGCATTCTGCGCGCACTGCCGGTAAATACACATGGTTCATCACTCCAGCTTCCTGTTAGCAAGTCACACAAAACTTTCGCGGGAAAAAAAGTTTCGCGACCCCCTTCGCGGAACTTTCACGAAGGTCAACGCCAGGACCAAAAGGTTTTCCCCTTCATAGCTCAATACAAGGACCTTTCGGACGACTCTCATTTGGGGAACTTCACCCACTTACCAATTGTTAACCCCACATTCGCAGGGGACTTAGAAGTGGGTTGTAAGTTGTAGCCCAGCATATACCGCTACAACTAACTTGGCGAATCGAACACCCAAGCACAGTTTTTCAACAATGGCCAGGCGATCGGATCCATCACTCTTTTCGGACAGATTTGGGGCACATTTCACACTCAGAGACGCAGAAACCATCTACCTGAACCCTCACCATTCCCTCAAACATGTGTTGCAGCCCAAATTGATGGGGTGAATTGATTGCTTGATGGGTAATCTGAGGGCTCAGGTAAGTATGAATTCTGGTCATGCTCACTTCCGATCAAGTGGATTGGCCCAAGGCAGTTTGAACTTGTCATTTACGTCTTCCCAAAAAGTAGTTGATCCATAAACTCAGCATACCCCTTACACCCAATACCCACTTTTTTTAGGGTATGATGTCGACCCTCTATTAAAAAGGAGGTATTTACCACGGAAACCCAGGTTTTTACTAAATACCAAGAAAACAAGGTATTTGGAGTAGGGGGTATTATACCCCCTGGAAACCCATATGTGACGTTTTTTTCTGTCCATACGGCTTGGGCCACAAAAAAATGACCATACGGTTATTTGCGGCTTTTTGTCAACAATTTGTTGAAAAAATCGGGTTGCATACGGCCAAATACGGCCACCGGCCAGCAAAAAATGGCCATACGGGAAAAATGATCCAAATACGGGTTCCGTCCAAAAAAAAACGGCCATACGGCTTTCCAGGCCCTTCAAAAGTTGACCAATGTACTGATAACTTCCATTGAAACAATCGCCAGTCGAGGATCCACAAAGTGAAACGAGGTGGTTGTCTTTGTTGACCCTGAAACTGGCCAAAGGGTTTTCCTTTTGGTTTTTGCTTAAAACAACAAGGTTCCCCAAAAGACATCCAAACCCTCAAACTACCATTAAAAAATGAATCCGCCCCCAGAAATTTTGGCAATAGCCAATTTTTAAGGGAAAGCCCAGCCCCAAATGACAGACCCAAAAATGTTCAAATGGTTCGGAAACCCAGCCCCAGACCCAACTCATTATGAAAAGTTGGAGTTTTCTGGATCTTCTAGTGGCCATGGTTTCAATGGAAGTTATCAGTACATTGGTCAACTTTTGAAGGGGTATAATACCCCCTACTCCAAATACCTTTTTTTTGGGTGGTATTTCGTAAAAACCGATCGGGCTTCCGAGGCAAATGCCGTAGAACAAGCCCGGTATTTGGAGTGGGTAGAGTGACCCTAGTTTGTGCCCATTGGAGTCGGAGCTCGTGTCTCAGTTGTAGGGGCCATCTCAGGCAATGGGAAGAAACGGTTGGAGAAAAAAAACACGGACCCGGAATCCGGTGGCAACTTTTTTCAGGGTCCTAGGGTCCAGCTGGCCGCCCACCCCGCCAAAGAAAAGTCCTCGCCATAGGTGGCCTTTTGGAAAAAGTATAGATGGCACTGGTAAATGGAATGCACCCCATCTAAACCAAACCCCTCTACAGGGATCCTTACATTATACAGCACCTCAACATTGTCTTGCAGATGGTGGCTTTCCTTTATTTTGGTCGAACAAGCAACATGTTTCAAATGGCTGCAAAATGTATCTTTTCAGGAGCCCTGCTCTATTGTTTTCCCGCAAACCCACCAAAAAGTATGTTGTTGTTTTTCTAAAATTTGTAAAACATGTAATCTAATTCCTGCCAAATTCCCCTGGCAGCAAATTTCTCAGACTAGAGTTTCCGCAAACCCACAAAAAAGGACACCAAAAGACACCCTCGCGGCTCCCGAGCCGGGCTTCCGAGCCGGGCGTTCTTCTCATGGGCCTTGAACACCTAGTCGTCTCGGGGTCCGTGCCCCCAGCGTCTCTCCGTGGGCTTCTCATGGCCCAACCAAAAGCCAACCAACCGTGCACCCAAGACCTGGCAATTGTTTAGTTGTTATGAATCTTTCAGTGACACCCAATACCTGGCCAGTTTTTAGTTGGTATGATTTGTCGACCCTCTACTAAAAAAGGGATCGGTACTTACCATGGAAACCCGATCGGTTTTTCAAAAAAACATACCCCTTACACAGCGTGGGTAGTTGGAGTAGGGGGGAACCACTATTTGGGGGGGTTCCACGATTTCGGGTGCCATCTTCTCTTTTTGTTCGGGGCTTCGAGCCAGCACGGATATGCGAAACGGGTGCTTTTGGTGTCAAATCGCAAGACGAAAACAGGGTAGCCTCAAAGAAAGTCCTGAGTGGACGGACCAAAACAAGTGCTTCCAAACTTTTCACTTACCACCAAAATGCTCCAAACCCCAAAAGTGCAAACTCCCTGAACTCGAGGAGTGTTCTCATGGGTGCTACCGCTGTATCGATCGTGGGTTGTCTCTAGCAGATGGCCCCATCGGCACAAAAAGTGCAAGACCAAAGAGTCATCATCAACACCTGGTATAATGATCCACCAAGAACCATTTTCGTCGTTGCCTAGCAGCCCAAGACCGATTTCAATATTTGAGGCCTTTGGAGGTTAAAGGCCCTCGTATTTAGGGTCCAAGGGGCTCCTAGGGATGCTTCAAGAATCAAGAAGGCGGATCTCCGCAGCTATTTATGGCAAGGGGATTGTCCCCTAACCTTCATCTACCAGGGTTTTGACTCTGGTGACTAACCTGGTTTCAGGAATCAAGAAACCAGATCTCCGAAGCTGCTTACGGCAAGGGTCCTTTACTCACCTTCACTGGGTATTGATTGTGACAACAAAAGGGAGATCAAAGCACCAGAGGAAGCTCGAGACGCTTTCCCGGTAGATCCCAGGCAAGCCATGGCCAGCCCATATCGTAGGCATGTTTCGCTATTTGGGGCAAGCCATTTTCCTTTGGTATTTAAGGGGTGGCAAGCCATCGGCTGCCTACAAAACCAGGTAAATGGATGAAATGGGTGTGAGAACTGGGGTTTCCACTTGCTTGTGATTTTGAGGCCTCACGTTGGGGTTGCTTACAAAAACAAACACACATCGATGCACCTTATTTTGACACATCACTCACACCTCTCAAGATTGGTGTTCCTGATTTGGATGAGTCCTCTTGTTTTGTCCAGGCTGACCTCCCAAACCAAGCACACAATATTGGCTTCTGGTGGATGGGGGAAAAAGGATTCAAACCCCCTTGTCTTGTAGTTGACTGGTTCCTTGAGATTGTGCTACCCTGATATGGAATCCTTATGGCAGGGTAGGCACATGGGGTTTGAAACCAACTGGCGGAAAGTTCAAAAAAAATCAGTTCAGCAAATGCAAGACTAGTGCCAGGGTGACGTCCACACCGGTTACATCCCTTTCAGTGGATCGAGTCGTTCACCCAGGTTGGCGCAGCTGAAGTCCACATCACTTGTGACTTTCCAGCCGAACCCAGGCGTCCCTTCCAAAAGCTCTCGAGCAACCAAAGCAACCTCACTGTTTCTTGGTCGAAATGGTCCAAACCCGAAAAGTGACAATCAAGTCCATGAATTCAGGGAGAGACTAGAAAAAGCTCATCCAAAATGATAGAAGCCACTTGGACACATCCACTGGTTAGTAATCCCAAGCGGCACAAACGAGGTCTGCAAAAAAAACTCGACCTGCCCCTCAAAAAAAACACAAACACGTATTTGGTTTGGAATGGGAACCGGGCCCTAACCAGCCCGCACCCGGAGTCCAAAGTGCCTATGTGGGCCCATGGTCATGCTTCACTTCTTAAGAGCGCTATATATATATATAAGTATCCGTCCACGGTCCATGACCATCCCCGCCCCAAGTAACAGCTGTTTTGACAATGGCTCAAATTATCATGTGGGCGATTCATGCTTTTTTTGCTTAGCCCCATTCGATTTGTTGGTTTGTTTTTTAATCCAGGGCCACAAATAAATCATTGTTCCCTACATCTACAAACATACTCAGCAACGTGCTTCTTGCGGACCCAAGACAAGAGTTGCATTCGGCAATCACTTGGTTTCCCTTGAGGGCCCTTAGAGCAAACCCTGCCGCCTCCAATTAGCAGGTCTTTGTGACTATTCAGGTGTATACTTTCTCATCCAGGCTAGGAACGCAAAGCGCCTTTTAGTGGGGACTCTATTAACAATGGGGAGGATTCCCCTGATTCATCTGAGTGCGTGTCAAAATTGCAGAATCCTACAAAGTGTGATTGTACTATTGATGTATATCTGGACCCTCAAACTAGCCTTAAAAAGTGGTTAGTGTCCCAAAATGATGGGGTGAATGTCCATTGTTGAGGTAGTTTGAGGGTCCAAGTACCTTCAACCCAACTTAAACAAGACACTTGTGCCAATACATGCCAGCTCCACAAAAAACAACAACATCAAACCAACTTTCGCGAGGTCTATCAAGCTTTCGCGGGGCCAAAAAGAACAAAATACATGATTGATTGTTTTTCTTTTCTTAGTGGCCTTCCCCCCATCTCAAAGGACCTTCCGGATGACTCTCCAACATGTAGGTGTTCCTTTTGGTTTGCCTCTAACCCCCCCCCGAACAGGTACCCAAAAAATAGACAGAAAATGTCCACACATGGCCCTCGTTCAATTCTGAACCTTTTACGTAGGCGGCCCCGCCTTGTTCAGGAAGGTCGTGTCCGTTGCCTGCGCGAAAAGTTTGCCCCAAGGTCGCGCATTGGCAAACCGCTGTAAAACCGACAATCCGCGGAAAGCTAGAACTTGTCGTGGCTTCTTGCTGTATTTGACGAATTACTCATCGTTTCTTTTTGTATGTCTTTCTTGTTTATGTTGTTCGCCTGCTTGTTGATGTGTTGTCTTTATTTCTGTTGATCTTTCTTTCATTGTTTAGTTGTCAACAGAAATAAAGACAACAAATCAACTTGTTTTACTTGTCCCTTGTTTGTGTATTTGTGTATTTACTCGTCCCTTGTCTTGTTGCTTTGTATTGCTCATGTTGCGCTGGTCCTTTGTTTGCTCTCTAAGGGCCTGGAATTCAAGGGGCTCAAAGCCGCGAGCGCGGGACTGCCATGGCGGCTCTGGTCTCAGTCGTGGAATCCCCGCCAAACAAAACTTGGTTGACTTTGGAAGGGGAGCAAACTAATTTTTAGCAGCTAAGTGGGGATTTCACACTAAACCACAAGAAGCAGAAATGTAAAATGCTTCCCAACAACGACCATGATAAAAAGAAAAAAAAGATGCTTGCGTTTCGAAAGATCTTCCCCTCTTTGATTTGCGTTGGAATGTAGGAGCCCAAGCTGAACCATCCCTTGCGGATCAACCAAGACGCATCCCACTTGATTTTCCCGGCGAGTCATCTACACAAGAGAAACTCCAGGTAGGCAGATTCCACCATGCCACTTTCGAGGGCAGCATGGAACTCCAAATCCATGCAGAAACTCACTTCCTGAATGACTTGGCAAGAACAACTACCCAATTTTTTAGGGTACCTAGTACCTTCCCCGTTCTTTCCAGCTCACTTGCTGAGTGGATGGCCCAAAAAAAGTTCGAACTTTATATTTACAACTAAAATGGTCTTCCCAAAAAGTTTAAAGTTCATGAACTCAGGAAGTGAGCCAGGCATCCTTCTTTTTACAAAACCACCCAAAACCCTGCGGAAATAGCTGATTGTTGAAAAGAACGATGGTTGAACAAAAATGGGAATCAACTCCTAGAAACTGTTTGTTTACCACTAAATCTTTAAAATGGCAATCAAACCCCGAAAGTGACGATCAAGTCCGAACCGGAACCCGGGAAGTGAGGAACTCCGTTGCACTTCGGAAGTGGAGGGTGTCCAGTTCTAAGGGCTCAAATCAAGAAAGATCCTTCGGACGGCGAGTCAGTATTTTTTTCCACAGCTCTATTGGCCATGGTTTTCACAGAGCGGAACAAATATGTGATTACCCCAACAGGCAAATGTGTCAATTGATTCCAGTGGATCCCAGTTGTGGTGGGTAACTAGCTACTTCCCCTTTCATTTTCAACAGGTGGTTCCATTGTCTACCTTCAGGCAAATGGATCTGGGAATCAGAGCGCTGGTTTTGGAAAAATTGACCCCTGCGGACAAATCTGGCCTCTGAGCCTCCAACTTGGCTTGTGCTAGCTACCATCCGTCAGGAGAAAGATGGCTTCCCAACTCCATGTTCGATTCCCGGAAAGGGCAACTAAACCATAATCAAAACCCGGTATTAAGACGGTGTAGCCACAACCACGTGAAGAATTAAGAAGGCGGCTGCACCCATTTATGGTTGGGATTGTCCCTTACTCTTGGTTGACGTTGGAAGGTGAGCAAACAACTAAATTTTGGCGGGGATTTCCCACTAAACCACAAGAAGAAAAAAATGTAAAATGTTTCCCAACAACAACCATGTACTGACCTGCATCTACCTGGGTATTGAGCACGTGGCTCAACTGGAGCCAGAAAACGGAATTGGGAGTCGAAGGCCCCCCTCCCACAATTCTATTTGGGCTGGGGATCAGATAGTATGTAACCAGGGGAAACCATCATATGGTACAACCTGGAGGACAGAAACCCGGAGGGCTACCTATGGCAACTGGAAGAACTTTGTTTCTTTTCTTTTCTTCTTTCTTTCTTCGTGTGGCTGCTTGCGTCCCGCCAAGAAACGCATGATGAAACGCTTCGGACTACCTCTAGTTTTTTCAAAACTCGTGACGTGAAGTTGAGATCTCGACTTTGTTGTTCTCCTATCGTTCCTGAAGAGTCCTGACACGTTCTACTGCGCATTGCGATAACCCACAGTACCACCTGAATCCTCAAGCTACCAACTTAAATGAGGTGAAGAGCAGCCCAAATTATGGTTGGTGAAATCCCATGTTTAAGGGTAGTTTGAGGGTCCCAGGCAGATACTAGCAACACCGGCTGGCGATGGGGAAATCCAACGCTTCGATCCCGATCCCGAAACGGATCGATCCTTTTTGGAACCCGAGACCTCCTTGATTGAGGGTCTTGGGGGTTCAAGGCCCTCGTATTTGGAGTCTTAACTGTGCCATTTGTAACCATGCAGGACACCTCAATGGCAAAATCGATCAATTCCTGCTATGCAAGCCGTACCAAAAACCAGGAATGCGTTGAGGACAACCCGTGAGAAAAAATATATTTTTAAAAAACAAAAATGAAAAAAGAGGAAACCCTCAAGAAAGGAATTTCGTGGGCACCTGGAGTTTTTTGTAGGACCCTGAAAAAGTGGTTGCTCAACAGAACATGGGCGTCATGCCCCCCTTTGTTTTCTACCTAGTCTCCATGACCCTTTGAAAATGGGGTTACCCAAACTAAAGACTTCTCACCCGATCTTTTTCTCGGGTCATGGAGACTCCAGGCTTCCATTTGCTTAAGCCCCCCGGGATTAAAAAAAAAAAGAAGTAGTGATCGATTCCTTTTAAAACCAACAGGGGGAAAGAACGATTCATTTCAGTGGAGGTAAAGTCTCCTTGCCCAAAAATGGCCCGCTTGAAAGGCTCAGGAGACTCCAGGGACCACATGGTTCCCCCCCCCAAGGTTTCCCCCCCCCCCAAGTGGCTCGTGGCTCGAGCCCCGGAACAAAAAAAGCGGAAGTGAGACATGTTTCCCGAGAAAGAAAAAAACATTAAAAAAAAAAAAACACATGCGAAGACCGATTTCATTCTTTGGCCGGCCTTTGGAGGTTAAAGGAACCCCCTCATATTTAAGGTCCAAGGGGCTAGGGTTCGCAAGCTAAGCCATTGGAGCACCACGGATTGGAGGGTTGACATGAGGCGGACTCAACTTCCTGGCAGGGCCAACCCTTCCACCAAATGGGTATGGCTCAAAAAACCTGTACCAAAACGGAACCCTGTCAAGTGGAAACATTGACCAAAACCCGCGTAACCCTAGCTCTTTCATTTTGAGCCACTGCCAAATATTGGGGATCGGGGCAAACTGTGGGCTCTAACCTGGGCCCGTTTCTGATCCGCAAAAAGTGACCAACTGTTAGCGGGTTAAACTCGGAAAAACTACCACTAAACACAAAAAGGATCTCAACAGCTAAGTTGAACCGGATGGCTGGCTTCGCCACCAAGTAGCTCATGGGTAGGATGCTACAGATTGTCCAAGGGGCTAGGGTTCGGAAGCTAAGCCAACAAATGGAAGCAGGTAGCTCCAATTCAGGAGACGTTTCCCACCTGGGACCCCATATGGCCAGTTTTTGTTTAGGTCATCATACGCCGTTGACCGAAAAAACATGGCCATACGGATTGTTACGTTCTTTTTCAACAACATGTCGAACAAATATGGGTTTCATACGGGTGATTTCCCAGGGAGTCCAAAGGCCTGAGTTACGGAGGCCGTTTAAACACCTAGGTTTTCCCTTTTACGGGCTTTTTACACCCTTTTTACGGGGTGTTTACGGCCGTTGACAAAAGGCCTAAGTTACTCAGGCTGAGGAAGCTCTGGGTTTACGCAAATGACCAAAAAATCATGGCCATACGGGCAAATACGGCCAACTACGGGCGTTTGACCGGACAAAAAAAAACATAGGGGTGCCAGGCTGTTTTCAAAGGGGTCATGACTGTTTAGTTGGGTAATGACCCCATTTGAGGGTGTACGGGGTGCCGGGCAACGATCGCCCGGCTCTCTCTCTCTCGCCTTGGGCATCGCGACCTCTTCGTCCAGAACCGAGAGAATGCCGCCTGGGGGCACTTTTTTTCAGCTAGCCCGTAACCACCCAATACCCGATGCCTTTTTTGGGAGGTATTTACTTTTTTGGTTGGGAGGGGTTCCCGTAAAATCGACTACAGAAAAAGGGTACCCCTACCCACTACTCCAAATACCCTCTATTTTTGTTGGTATCATTTGTGGACCCTCTACTTAAAAAGGAAAGGAGGTATTTAAATTGAAAAACCGATCGATTTTCAAAAAAAATGCCAACTAGGAAAAGTGGGTATTTGGAGCAGGGGGTACCCCGTAACCACCTACTACCCGATGCCTTTGTTTTGTTGCTATGATTTGTCGACCCTCCACCTAAAAAGGGATCGGAATTTACATGTATTTACATGTATTTACCATGGAAACCCAGGTTTTTCCAAAAAAATACCAACTAAAATTAACTAGAACAAGTGGATATTTGGAGTAGGGGGTAGCAGGAACCGAGACCCGGTCCCTGAGTTGCATCACCCTGAGCATCCCTCGCGAACTGCGCGGGGTCCCTCAAAAAGGGCTTAAACATTAGAATCTGTACCTGGAGTCTGCATGACCCCTAAAAAACGGGTCACTACCCAAAATGACGGGGTCATGGAGCCAGTTTTTCAAGGGTCACGGAGAATTCACGTATGGGGTTGTGGTGTTGCAAGGACGTGCCGAGCAGACCTATGTAGGAAATGTTGCTTTTGAGACCCGTCGGACAATTTAGACCAGTCAAATGAAGAGCTCCACGACCCACATGTTGCCGCCATATGTTACGTGTTCATGTCCGCGCATATCTCAGATGCCCAGTGGCATCGTGGCATCTGTAAAAAAAAGAAGAAACAAAAAAAAGAAAAAAGAAAAGAGGATCGGCATCCTTTTTGTTGATTGGCTTTAAAGGGAACCCTTCCCAAAAAAAAGGAACAAAAGGCACCACTGGGCAACTGGGACAACAGCACAAGCGCTAAGAAGCCCGAAGACATGGCTTTTTCCAACAACGGAACACACACAGCGCACGCTGTTGCGCAAACTGCCATTGGAAAAGTTGCGCGCGCGCATCCAGCGTGGCAAAGCGCAAGCAGGTGCCCAGAGTCGAAATTCACGTGCGGGATACCAACCACCTGAACCCTCAAACCACCTGGAGTCTCCATGACGCTGAAAAAAAATGGGGCTATGACCCCTTTATTTTGGGTAATGACCCAATTTTTAAAGGGTCATGGAGACTCCAGGTGTATACAAATATACCCTTCGACTGGGAATGCAGCCCTCTTCTGGAACAACCGGTTTTTGAGGGTCTGAGGGTCCAGGTGACCATGGTCGTTGCCTGAGCCTCCAGGCCTCAGGAGTTTGCTCTAATCATCGGGCTCTATGTTAACCTGCAGAAGTGTGGACTCAACACCCCAAATGGGGGAAGACAAGCCGTCCTTCAGGAATTGCAAAAAACATGTGGCCGAACTGGCCGAACCTATAGTAGATACCCAGGCATGTTCATTTTGTTTGAAGGACAAGTCCCATGCTTACCTATTAGACAGAAAATGGCTCCTGGGGCTTTCAATGGAAGACCTGACCCCTCCATGAGACCCCCCGGAGGTGGTTGGGACCCGGTCTCAAAACCAGGCTGTTTGACATTGAAGGCCCTAAATCAATTGAATTGGAGCTCTGGGAACCCAAAAACTGCAAACGGTCCAACGCCCATCGGACGCCTTTGGAATCGATCAGGGTCACGATGTCCGAGTTGTCGTTGAAGCTGAGTCCGTCCCCGACCTTCGAATCGACATGAACAAAACAACGCCATCTGCGCTCAAAAACGCGACTCGACCCGTGCAAACCGTGGGGGAGGTCTCAACTAGGTCCTCCAGTAGAGAGGTTAGAATAAGGGTACGTGTTTGTTTCTTCTTTTTTTTCTGTAGTCTATAGAACCCTCCCAAAAGGGCACTACTGAGAAACCTAGTCAAAATGGTAAACACACTTTGGGGCGCTTGAACCCCAAAAAAATAACTGGGCTATTGCCACCCAATTGTGGGGTGAAATCCTATTTTTAAGGGTAGATTGAGGGTCAAGGTGGTTTCAAAGGGAAGCCAAAAGGAAACCATCCCCATTTCTTGGCTAGCTACCCTTTACACCGAATACTCTCTTTTTCTAGGGTATCATGTCGACCCTCTACTAAAAAGGGATCGGTATTTACCATGGAAACCCAGGTCTTTTTTTTCAATAAACATACCCTTAAAAGCAGCCGGGTATGGGGGGGTAAGGGTTATTTTGAGAAACACCCCGGAAGGCTCGAACTTTTGCATGGTGCTGTCACTTCGTGGCACCCATGTTGACTTTTCGGGTCATGGGGACTCCCCCGTAACCACCCAAGACCCGATGCCTTTTTTTAGTTGGTTTCATTTGTCGACCCTCTAAAAAAGGGGGAAAATGTATTTACCTTGAAAAACCGAAACCGGTTTTCTAAAAAATACCAACCAGAAAAAGTTGGTATTTGGAGTAGGGGCCTTGAAAAACCAGGTTCTGTTTAAAAAAAACAACTAGAAAAAGGCCGAGTTTCGGTATTTGGAGGTGAAAAGGGGGAGGAAGTGAAAAGTCCCCAACAACTCAGGGAGTGAGAGGACGTACCTGAAGTTTTGCTAATGTATTTACCTTAAGGTAAATACCTCCTTCCCTTTTTTAGAGGGTCGACAAATCCTACCCTAGAAAGGAGTAGGGAGTATAGTTGGAAAATATACCTGGAGTCTCCCTAAGGACCCATAAAAAATGGTTGCCTGGGACCCCATATGGCCGTTTGTTTTTGGTCATACGCCTTTGACCGAAAAACATTGCCATACAGTTTTTTACAGCTTGTTTTCAACAACATGTCGAACAAATATGGGTTTCATACGGGTGATTTACGCAAATGACCGAAAACTCATGGCCATACGGGCAAATACGGCCAAATACGGAAGTTTGACCGAAAAAAAAAAAAAAAAAAAAAAAAAAAAAAAAAAAAAAAAAAAAAAAAAAAAAAAAACAGCCATACGGGGTGCCAGGTGGTCATTACCCCCTGGCACCCCGTATGGCTGATTGTTTTCGGTCAAACTCCCGTATTTGGCCGTATTTGCCCGTATGGCCATGATTTTTCGGTCCCGTACGAAACCCATATTTTTTTGAAATGTTGTTGAACAAAAAGCCGTAAACAACTGTATGGCAATGTTTTTCGGTCAAAGGCGTATGACAAAAAAAAAACACAGCCATATGGGGTCCCAGGGTCATGGACCCATGCAGTTTTAAAGGGTCATGGAGACTCCAGGAAGACGCAAAAGGCTTGGAACTCGGAACTTTGCAGAATGAATTGAGTTCGGTTTTGGATTCCCCGACCGAATTCCATGGAGTCTCGACAAAGTACGGGTTTTATACCGCCAAGTACGGGGCAAATGAACCAAATGACCGAAACAAACCAACACTACGGGTAAGAACAGGCCGAATTTACGCCTTTGGACCTTTCAGGACTCTAGGATGAGTTGAAAACAAGGGGCTGAATGTACAACCTGCTCCAAATACCCAGCCTTTTTTTAGGGTATGATTTGTCGACCCTTTACTAAAAAGAAGTGTTTACGGTGGAAAATCAGTTTTTTTTCTTCAAAAAATGCCCTATAAAAAGTGGGTATTTGGAGTAGGGGGTAAGCGGCAAAATCGTTTCACACAGGTTTCCTCGGGCCACTCAAACGAAGTACATGAAGAATGTTCGGAGTCTGACCATGCTTACTTGCCGAGAGCAAACCAGAGAACCAAGTTGGGTTTGAACAAAGCAAGAAACATAGGAGGTTCTAGGAGCCTTCAAGGGACCCTAAATATGAGGGGGTTCCTTCAACCTTGAAAGGCTTCAAACAGGGCTGTGGGGAATGGATTCTGTCTTCTGTGATGGCTTCCCAAGACTAGTTTGATCATAGAAACAGGGATTCCCTTGTATCACAGAAGGGATCAACCCCTTGATCCCACTGGCCTCAAATACTGAAATCGGTCTTGGGCTCCTAGGCAACGACAACAATGGTTCAGCCCATTGTTAACAAACACCGCAGCCGCATGAGCGAGATCCGACTGCGGAGTGCACCGAAAGGCCCGTCGACGTGGTTCTACCCAAGACTTGTGGCCCTTTTACAGCCCCAGGTTCAAGCTCGGAGGCACCTGTGCAGCTGCGTGGAAATGCTGGACGCTCCTGAGCTGCTCCTGCACCCGGCTATTGTCGTGTTCTGGATCACCCCAGGTTACAACAGCCCCAGATTCAAGAACGGCCGCAAAGGCACAATCCGTTGCTTGAATGTGCTGGACGCTCCTCAGCTGCTCCTGCACCTGGCTGCTGTCTCCGCCAAACACTGGATCACCCCAGGTCACGACAGCCGCTGATTCAAGAATGGCAGCAAAAGCACCGTTACTTGCTTGGATTTGCTGCACGTTTCTCAGCTGCATTTGCACCTGGCTGCTGTCGCCGCCACTGGCTGGATCACCCCAGGTCACAACAGCGCCAGATTCCAGAATGGCAGCAAAAGCACCGACATTTGCTTGGATGTTGTGGACATCTCTCAGCTGCTCTTGCACCCGGCTGCTGTCTCCACCACATGCTGGGTAACCCCAGGTCACAACAGCCCCAGATTCAACAATGGCAGCAAAATCGCTGCGAGTTGCTTGGATGCACTGGACGCTTTTCAGCTGCTCTTGCACTTGGCTGCTGACTCCGCCGTTACCCCAGGTCACAACAGCGCCAGATTCAAGAACGGCCGCAAAGGCACAATCCGTTGCTTGAATGTGCTGGACGTTCCTCAGCTGCTCCTGCACCTGGCTGCTGTCTCCGCCAAACACTGGATCACCCCAGGTCACGACAGCCGCAGATTCAAGAATGGCAGCAAAAGCACCGTTACTTGCTTGGATTTGCTGCACGTTTCTCAGCTGCATTTGCACCTGGCTGCTGTCTCCGCCAAGTCGCGGATCACCCCAGGTCACAACAGCCCCAGATTCGAGAATGGCAGCAAAGGCACCGACATTTGCTTGGATGTGCTTGACGTTCCTCAGCTGCTCTTGCACCCTTCTGCTGTCTCCGCCGGCTCTGGAACCGCCCCAGGTCACAACAGCCCCGGATTCAAGAATAGCGGCAAAAGCACGTCTAGTTGCTTGGATGTGTTGGACGTTCCTCAGCTGCTCTTGCACCTGGCTGCTGTCTCCGCCATAGCCTGGATCACCCCAGGTCACAACAGCCCCGGATTCCAGAATAGCAGCAAAAGCACCGGAAGTTGCTTGGATGTGCTGGACATTCCTCAGCTGCCCTTGCACCTGGCTGCTGTCTCCGCCATGTGTCGGACGACCCCATGTCACAACCTCACCCCCGTGGCCATGCCAAGCAAACGCTCTGCGTGTGGCAGCCAGTTTGCCAAGGTTCACAACCGCATCCACCACGTCCCCCTCGCGCAAGCCAACCTCACTCAGCGTTGCTGTCAAATCGAGCTGCCGGCCTTTCGCAGCGAGCTTCAAGCGGCGCCGAAAATACTGCTGCGCGGCAGCCTTCAGCTCGCTGACGGGCATCTCCGGTGAGACTTCCATGGAGAAACCATCTCCGCTGGGCAAGTGAACATCCACCTTCATGGCGCCGGCAGGTTCTTCTGGGTGCATTCAAGTCGACAAACACAAACCCCAAACACAAACCCTTCTTGAATAGCTTTTGAAGGAATCCAAACCATTTGCCCTAGGGCACAAACATGGCAGGAAAGATCGCTCAAGGTCAGTTTGAACCGTCTTCAGCTGTCGAACTTGGTCTTCATGACCGAAGTTCTTATGTGTATAACAACTATTCACCATCCATGACCAACACCAGCAGGGATAATAACAAACTAACAAAACATCGCCCTCCATTTGCTAAAGCCCCCTGAAAAAATAACAATATGTCCAGTAGTGAAATCGATTCCCTTTACAACCAACCGGCGAAAATAATAAAACAATAGTCTTAACCAAATGGAGGTCGCGTAGGTGCACCACCCATTTTAGTCTATTTTAGCGGGGAATTGGGATGTTCACTGGGAGTACGGGCTTTTGACCCATGGCCGCATCGCAAAAGGAGGGGTTTTCGGAGGGAGTGGTGGAGTCGCGTGAGCCTTGCTACATATGCGGGCGCTACCATGGTACAAGGGCCGAAACGTTTATGGGTTGTGGGCTAGTTGTGGGGTGCCAAACCACATTGCGTCATGGGAGAATACAACCTAGAATAAGATGAAACACCAAAAAAACGAAGCAGAATGAAAAAGAGACACTAGGGGGCCCTAGCAGGGTCCGTGAGCGTTGACATATCTGCTCTCGACCCGTCTATATACCAAATTGAACATGTGCGAAGTGTCACAGTGTCCCAGAAAGCTAATCACCCCCTTTGAACAACTAAACAACACCAGCGTCCATGTGTGTGACCTAGGGGGTTTCTGTTTGGAAATCAACCACCCCTCGGTGTAAGTCTAACACCTCCATTTGGTGTTTCGTCCCCTGAACCAACAGAAACGCAAATATGTGCAGTAGTGATATATTATCTTTAAATAAACCAACAGGGAAACTAAGACACCAAAATTCGAGTTTGCGTAAAAGACGTCGGCATGGCAAACATTTAGGGACGGCTTGGGAAAAGAAGTGACACCTTCTTGCAGGTTTCAGCTTCCCATGGGTTGGTTTGGTGGATCTCGAAGAAGTCGGGTTCAACTCCCCTAACGCACCAATCCACAGCCCCTGACCTCGTAGTTGACTTATGTTGACTTCAAAGAGACGCCCCATCAAAAACAAGTCGGATCTCGAAAATGGTTTGGATGCGCTTTTTGTGGAATTCACCTGCTCTTCCTCTTGTTGGTCCTTTTTTAGTTGTCTTGTACCTCCCACTCCAAATACCAACTTTTTCTAGGGTATTTTTTCAAAAACCTGGATTTCCATTGTAAATACCTCCTTGTTTAGTAGAGGGTCGACAAATCATACCAACTAAAAAAAAAGTGGGTATTGGGTGTAAGGGGTAGTCATCTCTTAATCTTCTACAGGGTTGGATCCACAGATTCGCCGCTAGGTTGATTAGAGAGCGACATCCTGAAAATTCCCCCAGCCAAGTCCTACCCCTTACTCCAAATACCCACTTTTCCTAGGGTATTATTTTCAAAAACCTGGTTTTCCATGGTAAATATATCTTTTTTTAATATATTTTGCAATCCGTGTCGTGCGTTTTCGGGGAATCGGTGGTCCTTTGCTTGGCCAAGGGAACTGTCTTGGGTGTTCCACAATACCCAACTTAGAGAAAACATACCTCTATCATTCCTCTGCCCAGGAACGGGCCTGGAAATAAACAGTGCTCACCTTTTGGGAAGCAAACGACTTTGGGAGCCCAAATCAGGGAAACCAAAAGGCTTGCTTTTGTGACATGAAGGACGGCCAAACCTTCCGGAAGGTCGCACAAATATTGATCTGGGGTTGAAACCGATCCCGGATCGCTAAAAGTGACGAACTTGTGGGTGAACTTTGGAAAGACACCCACTAAGCCAACTGAAAACTTCTTAAACCCTCAGTTGAACTAAAAAGATGCCCTGGGAATCAGAACCGCCAAATCTCCGAGGGTCCGGGCGTTCACGCCCTCGGCTTTGTAGTCGTCCAACTCCATCTTGAAGATGTGGTTGTTGAAATGCTGTTGCAGGTGCCTGCATCCCAAAGAAGAAGAACAAACCAAACAAAAAGCACACCGCCCCTTCGAAACCAAACCACTGGACATAGGTCACCTTTGGGCAAAACAAACGAATACTATCTTGCTGGCGCTCAGTAGCGAGTGTGCACACGAATGAATCCAGGGTTCCCTTAAAGAAAACCACCAGTTGGATGGTTTGTAAGGCTCATTCCCTCATGCCCTGCTGAGCACCAGCAAGTGACATGAGTCATGATCCACACCTGGTATAGTATATGTGTTTGGAAATCCGCAGCTTTTCCATGGTTCGGACTATCCCACAAGCTTAGATTCAGTCAAGGTTGCAAGAGGACGGATGAAAGTCATTGTGATGCCAACATGGGCGTGGCTCAAGATATAAATAAAGAGCAAGGGCAAACCGCAGGCGTTTGTCTTTATTTACCAATGTGCCAATAATGTTGGTACAATTTGTTTGGAGACACAGCCAATTGGGTATGTGGAGGCTCTATATTCTTGCCCCCAAATGACGATAACTTTTCCCATTTAGTGGGAAATATCATGTTGTTTGTGGCTTGTCCCACTTCTCATCCCATGTAAAGGAGCTTTTGATCAACCGCCATGTGTCGCTAGAAATTTGGGCTGAACGTTTTTCCCCGAAGGGTCGGGATTTTCACATGCTTTGCCACACCCCCCGGAAAATCATCGGGATTTCCATGGCAAGATTCCGTGCTCCTTGGGTAGCCTGGACCCTCAAAAAATGGAACTCACAACCATAATGTTGGGTTGCAATAACACATGTTTAACTTCACATCCCTTGGCATGTAGCAAACAACTGACTGTCTTTTGCAAGACCCCCACACCCATCGTAGGGAAGTTTGAGGGGCCTGGTACGTTTTAAAGGGCTTCCCCTGCCAAAACAACGGCAGGGGCCCCCAACCTGGTTGCGCCGAAATGGCTGAGGAGGACCCAACTATGGTTTCTGGAGAAGTGATCGATGGATGGATAGCCCAGCAACCAACCAATACCCTCCTGTTTTAAGGTATGATTTGCCGACCGACTAAACATGGGATCGGTATTTACCCTGGAAAACCACCCGACCAGTTGTTGTTGGAGGAGGTTTCTGGGCAGAAAGAAAAAGAGACCGAGGCTGGTGCCACGCCGGCGCACCGAAAAGAAAGGCACGAAGCGCGCAAGAAAGAGAAAGAGAGAGAGAGAGAGAGAGAGAGAGAGGGAGAGAGAGAGAGAGAGAGAGAGAGAGAGACCTGGAGTCTCCTTCTCACCCTTTAAAAATGGGTCCAGCCCTTGATTTTGGGGTGGATTTTGGGTGACCCGATGTTTCTTTGAGGGTGGACTTTGTAGAGATTTTCCCTCCCCCAGGCGATTCCATGGAAGCTCCCGAACGGACCCCTCTGGGAGACTTGGTTCCTTTTGCAGAGGACTTCTGGGAGCTTCCGGCCGTTAGTCTGAGAGAGACTTTGTTAAGACAGAGTGTGCGATTTTTTGTGAGCCCAAAGGGGTCCCGAAAAGGAAGAGGAGAGGGTCCCGATCAGCATAGTCTGACCTCTGTGTCTTGGGGAGGCGCTGGGGTTCTGCCAAATTGATCTCTTCGCTCACAGAGACCCGAAAGCGAGCCATATGTTACCACAAACTGCCTTGAACGTGGGTTACTGCCCCAAACTTTTGGGCGAAATCCTAGGTTTAAGTTGATAGTTTCATGGTCCAGGTGCGCACGTTTTGAACAACCCTCTGGACGGGCTGCTTCGACTGCTAGCTACCACGTGTGTCCATCCTTCAGACATGCAATAGCCCTGGTTAGAATCCCTCAATAAACAAAAACAAGGTTTCAAACCAAATCAAGGTTTCGATAACCAAAGGTTGGGGTGCCACGCCAACTCGAGACTTCAAAACAAGGTTTCAAACCCCCAAACCACCAATCCAAATCACCAACCAATTAGACAACCGCTCCAATCTGTGCTGAGCAAGCACCCAAAACATGAGATTGGCAACGGAAGCGAATCTTCCGACTGCCTTCCCACAGAGCTTCAAATGTGCCTGGCTGTGCTTGTCCGTACTAATCAGAAGTGAACATACAATAAGTTGTTTTTTGTTTGGATTTTTTTTTTGGTGGTAGAAACTAAAGTACTAAAATCAAATAGAACAGTTTACTAGTTTCGGCCCTTCCTTTAACCAAAAAATGGTCCAAACCCAAGTCTCAAGCAACGAAAAAATGGTCCAAAGTCTCAAGTCTCAAGTCCAGGAACTCAAGGGAGAGCCTCACTAACGCCCACCTGTTGGAGCCAAAAGACCAAGGGGCCCACAAAAAGCACTGCTTTTGAATTCGCTGGCTGAGAATTGTTGGGTGTTTACCCACAGAGACAAATCCACTTCGAGTCTCCTGCCCAAAATATGGGTCTGAGTTGGTTTGCCCGGAACCAGTCTGCCTTTTTCTGGTTGGCCACTACCATGCTCTTCCCAGAAAAGAAAAATAACACATCCGGGAACTCAGGGAGTGAGGAAACAAGGACTTCTTTCTTGAAGGGTCAGACTCGGAGACTGCAGGTTCCAACTCGCACAGGGCCAACCCAAGAACGGACCGACAGTCGACCCCTCTGCTATCCCCGACTCCAAATACTCACATTCTTTAGGGTATCATGTCGACCCTCTACTAAAAAAGGAGGTATTTACCTTGACAAACCAGGCTTTCCAAAAAGCAACCCTCTACTAAAAAAGGGATCGGCATTTACCATGGGAGACCGATCGGTTTTCCAACAAACACCAACTCAAAAAAGGCCGGGTACTTGGAGGTTATCTTCTATTTGCTTAAGCCCCCCTGGAAAGAATAAGCATAATTCCAGAAGTGATAAATTCCCCTTAAAGCCAACAAGGGAAAATAAAAAATAAAAAATGAAAAACAAAACCTGGAGTCTCCATGACCCGAAATAAAAATGGGTCCATGACCCCACTATTTTGGGTAATGACCAACCAGTTTTTAAGGGTCCTTCCAAGAAGGCCTCTGCACGAACCAGGTCTTCCAAAAAAATATATGGAGCTTTCATAGAATCGCCTGGAAGAGGAGACCACCAAAATAGTCCAAATCCAAATCCAAAGTTCTTAAGCAAGTTCCCCAAAAACAACGGTAAAAGGGCACCTAGCTGCGGTACCTAGTCCAGGTTCTTAAGCAAAAGGACGGGGTAGTTTTCTTTCGGGTCCTGTCAGACCTTAGTCGTCGAAGCTCTCCAGGGCAGCGGCTCGTTGCTGAGGTTGATGAACAGCTGCTCCAGCCTCAGACGATCTCTTTTTCTTCCATTTGCAGACCCCTGGATTATAGAAACATACTTCCAGTAGTGATAAAAAATCCTTCTTAAAACCAACAAGGGGGAAAACCAAAACATATTCTTCAGCGAATGGACGTTTTTTCCGGTCTCCGAGTCTGACATGGGAACGATGCCTATCCAAATCTGCCACGAGCCTCGAGAGTTGGGCGGCCCTTTCATTTCGAAAGGCTTACGACTGAAAAGTTCCTGCGCATGGGGAAGTTCTCATCTTTTACAGACAGAAAAAGCCCCATGTTACCCAAAAAGTTACGAGAATATGTGTTTTTGAGAGGTAAGTCACTATCCAACATAAAGGGGGCATGACCCCATTTTTTAGTTCGGGTCATGGAGACTCCAGTCATGACCCCTTGTTTGTAAGGGTGAAGACGCAAGGAGATACCAAAAATCGCTCACATTTTACACTTCGATCTCATCATGGGCACCGAGCTCATACCCCTGGTTCGATCGCCACAGAATTTGCGAAAGCCCCCAGACTAGGCACGGTTTTAAGCGGCCACCCCAAAAGACCATGACCCGGGCTCGCAACCCACTTGGTGGCTGCCAAGAAGTTGGTGGTTGATACGCGTCGTTTGCGTTGCTACCTGGAAAGCCGTATGGCTGATTTTTTTTTGGACGGAACCTGTATTTGGATCATTTTTCCCGTATGGTCATTTTTTGCTGGCCAGTGGCCGTATTTGGCCGTATGCAACCCGTATTTGTTTCAACAAATTGTTGACAAAAAGCCGTAAATTACCGTATGGGCATTTTTTGTGGCCCAAGCCGTATGGACAGAAAAACACGTCACATATGGGTTTCCAGGTAGCTGAGTGGCGCCTTGATTCTCAGAAACTGAGGCACAGCACATCCGCCTGGTTTCCCTCCGAACCAATAGTCGTAGAGTTGTCGAGGGCGCGCCGTCCCAATAAGGAGCTGCGCGTAATAGAGATTGGTCCTTTGGAAGATCCCCACTCTGCCCCAAGGCTACCTAGGCCAAGCCGTCAGAACGTCTGCCCAGATTGAAACCTAGGCCGCCCACCCGCGGCCGCCCGGCCTGAAACCCGGCCTTGCCCGGGTCTCCGAGGCCCCTGCGAGTTCTGCTCGAAGCTTTCAAAGCCGGCCTAACGCCCAGAGACAAAGGGGAAAGACTTGCTTGAGGTGAGCTGTTTGTTGGATAGTGGGAAACACACATAGAGGCTAAATTCCGAACCTGTGGCGGCGCGACTTAATAGGCCGAATTCGGAACCAAAAAGCTGGACAAAATTTGCTTGGGGTTGTAGGTTTCTTGACAAACGCGTGCTACAGCTGGGTAACTTCCAGAAAATTACGACTGGGTGATTGTCCTGCTTGCTATAATTTCGGCCACCCGCTGCACCCGCTCGCGTCAGAACCGTTCTAAGCCTCCCTGCCAGGCAGAAAGCCGAGAAACAGACAATGACGTCAGCTTTCTGTCTACTAGTCCCTCGCCCCTATTCGCAAAGCTCAAGGATGTCCTGCTTGCTTCCACAGATTATTTGAAGTTGCATGCGATGCGTAGACTTCAATTTATGGAACGAGTCACCATTAGCTCATACGCTTGGTTAGTCTGTGCTGCCTGGGCATTTGCATGAACAGCACCATAGTGGCAAGACTTTTGTGCTATGATGCAGGATTGGAAGTGGGTGCTAAAAGCAGCGATTGCTAACAGAAACTCTGCAACTGGGTCACAATCAAAACCCGGTACTAAAATGGTCGACCCAGAACCATGTAAAGAACTAAGAAGGCGGCCGCAGCTATTTATGGCTGGGATCGTCCCTTACTAATCTTCACTTACCCGGGTTTTGATTGTGGCTCAACTGGCAACAACATTGATTGCCTTATGAGGGAGCGCATGTAACAAGGGGCTTGGTTGCGCTGGGGCGACAGTTCTAAAACAAACATATTCTGCGCATGGTTCTGGGCCCAGTTGCGTGTAATATTCTCAAGGCTTGCCTTGTGCCTCACACTCTTTAGGGTAGTTTAATAGAGTAGAAAACGATAGACTCTGTCTGTAGCTTTGGCAAAACGACTGAAGGTTAGGCCAATGTGCAGCAGTGTCATCAGGCTGCTAGGTTACTACTGGTTAGCATGGCGGGTTTAGCTAGTACCAGGAACGGATACCTCGCTACAGTGTTTTTTCAACTAAAAAAAAAGCTTTCATGTAGCGCAGAACATTTCGATGTTCCATCGTTGCGTTTTGCGAACATAAGGCCTTCTTGGTTGACCAGAAGATGCCTACTGGTCAGAAACTGTTTGACGACCTATGGAGGGTGCCAGTAGACAAGTTATTGAGCCTATCCCTGATGATGTAAAAACGAATGTTGCCCACAGCACGAGATATCGCAATTAATTCAGCAAATCAAGTAAAGAGAACAACCTCAAGCTACCAGCAGCCATGGCCATTCCTTCCCCCCAAGCTCAGGTAGCAGCTGGGTAGCCTATGGTAAGTGCATTTCATTCACGAGGGAGTGGGCGAAGGACCCTCAACCACAACTTGCAGAGACCTTCATTCCACCAACCCCTCTTGAGCTACAGCCATGCAAAGTGAACATTCCCCTTACACCCAATACCCACTTTTTTTTGGGTATCATGTCGACCCTCTACTAAAAATGGGATCGGTATTTACCTTGAAAAACCGATCTGTTATTCAAAAAGTACCAACTAGAAAAAGGCCGGGTATTTGGAGGTTACGGGGGTTGATTCAACTAGAGCTTTGTCAAGTCCTTTAAGCTGGGATGGTATAGGCTCGCTCCAACACAGGGCTGTGGGAAATGGGCTTCCCAAAGACTAATACCCCATGTACAGGGGGAGATTCCCTTGTATCACAGAAGTGGGAATAAACCCCTTGATTCCACAACCCTGCTCCAACATGATGGGAGGTTCAATCCAGATCACAGACTTGGCACTTGGCACTGGAAAACTTGCTCCACAGGCGGCGTTTAACACCATTGTCACACTCGCAAAAAAATGAATGCCGGGCAAGTTCATGTTGAAGCAGAAGCCTATCATGAAATGTAAGTCGTTTCGGTGTTTCCTCTCGTGTTTGACTGGGCTGTGACCTGGCCCAAAGGACCGCCAGAATTAAAGGGCAATCACCTTTTTGTCACAAATCAACT